CAAACTTTTCATCTCCCAACAGCATTACCTCTCGAATCTCCTTGACCAACATGGTATGCTCCAATGTAACCCTGCCTCCACCCCGCTCCCAACCACCTTCCGTTCGATGCCTGCCAGTGACGAAGAGTTCGCCAAGGCCTCTCACTATCCATACCCCACCGTTGTTGGTGCCATCCTTTACGCTTCCACCATCTCTCGCCCTGATCTTGCCTTTGCTGCGGGTGTCTTGTCTCGCCACCTCAGCAAGTGGAATCTCAGTCACTGGCAAGCCGCCAAACACGTCTTGCGCTACATCAGAGGTACTCTTGACCTTTGTCTACGCTTTGACCAGGCTGCCGGTCAACGCACCGCTCTGGGATATGCGGACGCCGACTGGGGGGGAGATCTCGACACAAGGAGGTCAACAACCGGCTACGTGTTCAAGGCGTACGGGGGGACAGTCGCATGGAGAAGCAGAAGGCAGACAACGGTGGCACTGTCAACAATGCATGCGGAGTGGATGGCATCCACAGACGCAACCACACAAGCCACCTGGCTCAAGGCGCTGCTCAAGGAGCTGATGCCCACTCACCCAGACTCGCCAATGCCTATCTTGAATGACAACATGGGTGCTATTGCCGTAGCCAAAAACCCCAGTCATCATGAGAAGACTAAACACTGGGGAATCAGGCTTGGTTTCCTCCGAGAAAAAGTGGCAGAAGGGGAAGTGGAGCTATCTCATGTGCCCTCAGCGCAAAACTTGGCCGATGCTCTCACCAAGGTCATTCCTCGAGAGCCATTTGAGCGGGCAGTCAAGTTGTTGGGGTTGGAGAAAAGGGGAGACGGGAGAGCTGAGTGAGGGGAGCATTTTTCACGTAAAAATCCTGATTGTTTCTTTCTTTAAGCCTTATCTGAGACTAGTTTTCTGCGGTATTGATTGTAGGGGAGTGTCAGAATCAGCCACAGCCGGCGTTATGCGGGATTCGTAATTAAAATCAATACACGTTATTCTGCGCGTCGATAGCTTCTTCTCTTTCTTTGTCACTCTTTAACTGCATCATTGGCCGTAGCAAGTGTTTGGGTTAGTGCTTAGGAATCCTCAGGTATGCACTCTTTAACTGCATCATTGGCCGTAGCAAGTGTTTGGGTTAGTGCTTAGGAATCCTCAGACTCCCACAACTTTTGCCTACCGGCAGACACAATCCACAAGTGAGACACACCCTCCACCACTTCTAGCTTCCCCACAACCATCATCCCGACCATCTCTTCTCCTACCACCACCTCCTCTTGTACCACCTTCTGTCCAGCCACCTCATCTCCAACCACCTCCTTCCGGCCTAGAATCTTCTCTCCTCCTGCTTCGATAGCGTCGTCGGGTGAGAAGAGACATCACCTTCGGTGACGACAGGTACAGGGCTCTGGACGTCTACCTCTCTGTATCATCATGTCAAGATTTCGTCTTGAAATGCTCTCTAGCAGCCAAGCAGACTGTCCGACCGTCCTCAGAGGCTTCCCTCCTTTGGGGTCAGCATACAGATCATCCATCCGCGCCCTCTTTGATCACTACGTGGACCACCACCTCTCTCGATCAAACCGTACTTCCCCAATCGCTCAAAGCCATCCAGCCTCGGTCGCACCACAAGCGTCTCCCAGCCTTCCCAAGCAATGGTATGATTTTGACAAGACCCAGTAGATTGTTCCAGCAGATCCAGACGATCAAACAGCTGGGGGACGATCTAGACAGGGCGTGGCAGGCGTGTTTGGCAGATGCATGATGTCAGTAGTTAGGATATCGGTGAGCCCTTTCATGTCTGGGCAGCTGGTGTGCTGACTCCGGTCAAAGGTTCACTCGACAGGCAGCTCTCTCAACGAGCAGATGCTGTTTGATCCAATGTTTGATCCCTAGAGCCACGCCTGTTGAGTCTGTGTTGAGTGTCGGCCGCCGCGCACGGAAGCACATTCCCATCAAACACGCCGCTTTGACTGCAACAGGCAACAGCTGTTGCATTCGCCTCATCACGCTCTACAACGACCCAACAACTATACGACTGCAATCTATCTGGCTCTAATCCTCCTACGAGAATCGGCATGGGCACTTCCTCGCCCACTGCGCAGCTCTTCCCTCCATCAGACCGTGCTGCCGGCCACACCACCCCCGGCCTAGTCGAACGCAACAATCAGAATGCCAAGTCGCAGTCGAAGCTGCGTGGAAAAGGCGGAAGGTCTAGGCGAATGGACGATTGGTATGCTAGAGGTACGCTTTGATATCTTCCTTTAATCTGAGACCCCTGACGAATTCACATTACTGACCCCATTCCAGGTTTCACCAGCTGGGTGCAAGATCCGGAGGACCAAACCACATTGATGTGCATGTCTTGCTCGCAAACGAGCAATGCTCCCTGTCTGACCAAAAAGACCAAAGCCGCACAACACGAGAGATCGCTCGCACATGGCGTAGCAAACAGTCGCTGGCAGGAAGAGGAGGGGCAGAAAGTGCTGATGGACGTGAGAGAAGAGAAGCAAAGGCTGAAGAGGGAGGTGCATAATCATTCCCGGGAAGCGCTGAAGCTTGATGAAGGCTGGGAAAGAGATTATGAGGTGGAGCTAGACATCCTTGAGGGTACGTCTATACTTGTTCTACAGCTGCTGACACCTATCAACCAGGCATCATACACCGCCATCCGACTGATCACACAACAAAATACCACTGCGCCCCTTGCTCCACAATCAATCACTCTTCCGGCATCTCCTCCGACATGGACTCTATCAGCGATCTGGTTGCGCACTTGAAGACGACAGAGCATCTAGTTGTCCGCCCACTTTACCTCCAACAGCAGGCCTACGTCGGCGCAGGCCTGTATGCTCCCAAGGGACCGAAGAAGAAGAAGAGGAAAGCCGCCGAGCGTCTCGGTGACATCCTTATCAAGACAGAGGCCGGCCCATCAACGTCTGCGCCTCCCACCGACCCCAAGTCTACAATCTCGAGCTCTTCCACCTCGGCCAAACGGTCTGCAAAGTCTCGTCCTCCTGCCGTCCGGCCGGTACATCACGCAAATCAGCCTTCATTCACCATTCCTACGTCGGCCACCTATCCCTTTCAAATCTTACTTCCTCAATCGCTCAAGGCGATCCGGCCTCCATCACCCGGCGTACATGTGCCAAGCATTGACGTTCTGCCTACGATACCCAGCAGGCTGTCTCATATTGAGACGATCAAGCAGCTAGGAGACAATCTGGACAAAGCGTGGGAGGTGGTTTTGGCGGATTCATGAAACGCCGGCGGTTATTCTATGCCTTTTGTGAACCCTTCATACCCTTACATTCATCGTGCCAACTCTTATCATTACTTAGCCGTCAAGAACCACAAATGAGATGCCGTCATGCCGCTGTTATGGAGTCAGGGATGGGCGCTGGTTGCGTATGTTGGATTGCGTATTATCCATCATTATATTGCTCGAACAATTGCTCCCATGAGCAAATAGGTTTTGTCTACTCGAGGCGCGAAAGACATTAGGTACGCCGAAGAAGGCGCTTTCATCACATTCAACGAGGCCGAATCCCAATCATGCTGTGTACGCAACGTAACGAAATAGTAGATGTATAATCCCTTTTTTGCCGGTCACACCTCCTATCCCAGCCGTCTCCTCTTCTGTATGGTAGCCAAACAATGCCCTCAAGGGGCAAATGACGCCTAGGTATCTACGGTACAGCGGAAGGGCGTGCGGGCAACATAGTCGTAGACAACAGAAAAAGATGTAAAGATCTGCCTGTCCACCTTTGGCATATGAATACGATTGTCTGCTGGTCCGATGCCCACTGGAAGATTCCATCACTCCAACTCAGACAAGCCAGGGCCCCTGCGTTACGTCGGCGGCCGGTGCTTTGGCATCACGCACGCTACACTTTTGGTTTCTACATACATGTTCCATATAGAGTCAATCATATGTCTTCACATTAGCTCCTATATCTGCTAGACATCATGGGGAGCTCCACCACCGCTGCTCTGCCATCACCTCATTTGTCCCCCGGCCACGCCAAAACCACCCCCAACCTAATCGACAGCAATTCGCCGGGCATGTCTCCTTCTGACTTGATCAGATCCTCTTCGGCAACGCTCACAACAAGCCACGATCAATTGGACCGGAAGATGATGTCGAAGAGCTTCCCAGGGTGTGGGGAAACGCATCGAGTGGAGGACTGGTATGCTAGAGGTCGGTATCCCTCGGTATCATTTTCCTCTCTGGTACGTTTGCTAACGAACTTGTGATTGACAGGTTTCAGGCAGACGCAAGATCAAGAAGGCAGACCCATGATGCTCTGTATATCTTGCTCCCAACAAAAAACCGTTCCCATTCTGATCGGCCTCAAAAACATCAGGTCCGGCAAGCACGAAAAAACGCCTGGACATGGCACATTGATAAGTGTTTGGCAAGAGCAAGAGGGGCTGAAAGTGTTGCAAGACGTGGGGGAAGAGAGGAAGAGGCTGGAGAGAGAGATGGTTGACCAGGGGCTTTCGGGAGGGACGAGCCGTGCTGCGAATTGGAAAACAAGTTACGAAAAGGAGTTGAAAAGTCTTGCTGGTATGTCCATTCAAGTGGTGTTTTCTGGCGGCTTCTGACACCCATCATGCTCAGGCATCATACACCGTCATACCATAGACGAAACAACACTTTACCACTGTGCTCCCTGCTCGTTGCTCAATCACGCCGTTACCTCCTCAGACCTCAAATCCATCGGGGATCTGGTCGCTCACTTGACGCGACCAGATCATCTGACTGCCTGCCAAATCTACCTACAACAGCGTGCCGAAGTCGTCGGCGTAGGGAGCATCAAGCGCAAGCAATCAAAGAAGAGGAAGGCCAAGGAGCTTGCCGACGATGAGACTGCTCCCGGAACAGATGCAGAGCCGTCGATGTCTGTCGCTCACGCCGATCCTTCCAATCAATCCCTGAACCCATCTGTTTCGACTGGCTTCTCTGGTGTATTGCCCGAAGCACGCGAGGACAACCATCCGACTCCTAAACGGCCAAGATTGACTCCACCTTTGCAATCTCCACCCTCATCTACCCGTTCAGCCACCATTGCCGTCCTCGACGCCATACAACCGCAGATTGATAAGTCGACATCAAAGAGAAGAGTGAAACAATCGAGGCCAATAGAAGATTGGTATGCTAGAGGTACGTTTTGGCCATGTCCCTTCCCCCAGAACGACCTCTTACGAGCATATGAAATACAGGTTTCACCAAGACGCAAAACCAGCAAGGCGAAACCAAATTCATTTGCGCACCTTGCTCTCAAACCAACTGTCCAATGACCATCTCCAATCCATATAGCCACGAAAGGTCTTTCTCGCATGGGACATCGCTGCGCCGCTGGCACCATGAAGAGGGGGGGAGAGTGTCAATGGATATCAGGAAAGAGAAGCGGAGGCTGGAGCGGGAGATACATGATGGCGGACTTCAGGAATGGGTAAAGCATGATGCTGATTGGGTGAGAGGTTACGAGGTGGAGCTAGAAAGACTTGAAGGTATGTCTCTTTGCTGTTCTGTGGCTGCTGACATCCGCGGTCAGGTATCATACACCGCCATACAGCTGAAGAAACGACGAGATATTACCACTGCGCCCCTTGTTCAACTCTCAGTCATTCCGCCCTCTCTTCAGACTTGCATTCGATCAAGGACCTGGTCTCTCACTTGGAGAGCCCAGAGCACCTGGCACTCCAACCGCTTTACCTGCAGCAGCGGGCTGGAGTTGTCGGCGTAAGCCTGAAAACAAAAGCAGCGCAAACAAAACACAATACCGCCGAGACTCCCGAGGTGGAGATTCCGTCAAGGGGAGGCGAAGAGCCGTTCCTGCCTGCCGCTTCCAACGATGTTTCCGAGTCTTCGTCATTGAGCTCCTCCTTTCCAGTGGAACAGTCCACTGGCCCTGCCCTCGAAGCTTCGCTCCAGCAGACACCCACCACGGATCAACCTGCTCCCACTTCTCTACCCGACACGTCTCCTCCTATCCCAACCGCCTCCTCTTCTGTATCGCTCAAGACAGCCCAAGCTCCTTCCACCGACGACCATATACCGCTCGATGAAGTGCTGTCCTCCTCCAGGCTGTCCCAGATCCAGACGATCCAACGGCTGGGCGCCAATCTTGAAAGAACTTGGCAAGCGTTACTGGCCGACACATAGAGCCAGAAGTGGGATGTTATTGATGGATGATGGACTTCCCAAACGCCGAAGGTACGTACATCAATTCCCTCCGCAGCTCTAGTTCTCACGATTGACCAGGTACATGACTCTGGGTGCGTCGACCGGCACGAGGGGAGACGCGTACAGTGGGAATCCGAAGGCGTCGGACTTCATCTTCCTGAACCTCATGACCTCTTCTCCGATACTTTCGTCTCATTTTAAAACCTGACTCTTTCCGTCGCCCTCAATGTTCCTCGTCAGTCCTACCAGAGTTGAACGACACCCTAGTTGCCAGCATTGAAAGAGTGTATCGAGGTGTTGACGGCATCGAGCATGTGGGTGGCTTGGACCTGTCTGTGATCTCGTCCCCATGTACGAAAGCAGAGTTGTTCTACAAGACTTTGTTCGGGCATGTGAGTGCGATCGAACTATCGGCTTCTGTGAGTCAATATGACAGCGTCATCCAGTGTGGGTGCCGAGCTGACATGAGGCGCTCTAGACCACATCGGCATGGTTACGGCAAGGAAGCGAGTCAGCAAGAAACGGCCTTTTGTGACGCCTTTCATGCTCCTTATATGTACGTCTTGCATGAAGCAGGTTCCCAACTCGCTACATATAGTCGACGTTTGGTAAGTCGAACGGTCCCCCTCAGTCGGATTTCACAGCGCACAGGTACGTGGCATCCCGGTCAGAAGTATGGTATCTCGCTGACTCAAAGTACAGACAGCCACTATGCCAGACCACATTGCCGCCACCGAGCCCCATAGCTTTATGGCCCATTCCAATGCCGAAACCAGCGCCTCCAGCTACGCCACCCACAGAAACAACTTTGACAAGTCTATGCGCCAGCTCGACACTTTGAATTTCACCCGTGGAGAAGGTCCGGACCAGAGGAAGCTCCTGCAGCTTTTGGAACGGCAGGTTCGGTTGGTGGGGGCAAAGCAGTACATGAATGCCAAGTTTGGGGCTGGGACTCTTCAATATGTCGTGGGTCGTCTTCATCATGAGGTTTGGGCAATACTGATGATATATACGTGTAGGCAGGACTGTACACCATGATGGCTGCGTCTATTGCCGAAGAGATCTAGGTCGGGATCAAGAGATCAATACTGATGATATATACGTGTAGGCAGGACTGTACACCATGATGGCTGCGTCTATTGCCGAAGAGATCTAGGTCGGGATCAAGAGATACGGCTATATCCCCACTGCGAAACATCAACTGCTCTATAGCGTCATCGAGTGCGTCCTACAGCAAAGGTGCCGCCAGAGGATTTTGCTGACTCGGCAGTAAAGTGAGGGAGATATCGTCATCAACACATTTTCCCGTCTCAATATCCCGAAGCTGGCCCCGAAGGGCTTGAACACCAAGTGGAAGACTGAGGATGTTTACGATCCACTCGTGCATCTCGTTACGAGGCTGACCACGTTGATGGTGAACTGGGGGGTGAGTGGCGTACCACATTGCTGCGTCCTACCTGAACTTTTCTGATGTACACGCTACCTAGGTGCCGATTACGGCCCCGCAGGAAGCTTCGTCCACGTGGATCCCACGGTTGAGCTCGCACTGGGAGTTGGATCTCGCGAACGCGACGAAGAAGAACTCGTCTTCGAGGCAGGACTGCACTGTTCAGTAATTCACGAGAGTAATGCGTTGATTATGAGTCGATTATGTAGATGTACTGTACGCATACCGTAATGAAAGGCTTTTATGCAGCATTATGACCGCTTCCGCTTCATGTTGAGTGATCTGGATTGGTTCCGCCGCCAACTTGCCCTCTCGGGTTTAGCGCGCCGTGGGAAACTTTGACCCTCGGGCTTTGGTGCGTGTCGCAGCCTGCAGGCCACATCTCTTGTACAAACTCGCAAGTATTCTGTGCATGCCCTCCAATGAGGAGCCAGACGATTCCCTTTGAGGGCGCCAATGACAGGAACGACAAACACCGCTCTCACCCGATCATGCAAGCCCGAATACCGACGGATAACCAGGGCGTGTGCGTGACTGAGTCTCCTTTTGACAAGCTAAGAAGACAGGCGCGCTGGTGTCTCGCTATCGACCCCAGAACAGCTCACCTGCCGCTGTATGCAGCACTAATGCCATAGCCCACCCTACACCCCCATCACGACCAAAACATACATCCAGCCAGATGCGCCGCGACTGAAAGGGGTGGCTTGCGCACTGTGCGTGTGGCATGTTGGATGACAGGATCTACCCCCAAACATGAATTCGGCAAAACACCTTTCAAATCGCATCCTCATCTTGGCATTGTACTTCTATCTTCTCTTGTATTCACGACCTCACGACCCCTCACGACGATGGACATCATCCACCGCCTCAATCCCTTCCACCGCCCCTCCTCCTCCCTCTCCCGCAACACCCCTACACCCTTCTCCTCTCGCGGCCGACCATCCTCCTCGCTGGAGCACGGATACCCCACCCCCGACACCACGCCCCACCCCTCCTTCGACATCAGCCACCACCCTTCCGTCGAATTGGGGCGACACTCTCTCACCCCGACCCCAACATTCTTGAACACACCGAGGGAAGAGGATGAAGATGACGCTCAGCGCAAGCTGGGTCATCGCAGGTCCCACTCCCTCCTTCGCAATCTGACTTCTCACCCAAGTCTGTCCGCGCTGAAAGCAAAGTCGACCAGGGGCAAGAAGAAGGCAAACAGGAGAAAAGGCATCCCGCTCATGCCGACCGACCCGAATGGGCAGTACTTGGCGCCAGTGGACTTTGGGGAAGCTGAAAGGCCGGGAACGCCGGGGAAACTGAGAAAGGGGAGCTTGAAGGGTAGCAAGAGTCTGCCAAGAGATCTGAGATTCAGTGGAGAGTTTCAAGGTGAGCCGATCGTTTGAGAAGATGACCAACGCTCAACGAAGACACAGCTTTGGATTCGATCCCGCCTTTGCCAGAAGCTTCCACGTACGACACGAGCGCCCTGACACGTTCTCAATCGAGTGCCGCAACCTCCCGATCAGGCAGCACCTCGCCCTTCAAGAAGCGCAATACCATCCGTCGCAAGCCTGCGCCTTCTCAACCCCCCGAGATCACCGTCTATCATGACTGCTCGAGTACGCCGGAGAGCATGAGGGTCAGGATGCGGTTCGAAGTGGATATGAACTCGAATTACTCTGGCTCGCCGTCGAGGAGAAGACACAAGAGCTTTGATGTGAGGAGCTCGTCGCCGAGTGAGAACCGTGGCGTCAGAGATCAGACTGGTCGTACGTCGAGATCCTGGGTCTGAGAATCCTACTAACATCACTCAGGCCATCTGTCCTCTCCACCTCGAGCCCAAGCAGGTCCAGTCGGAGACTCCTGGGGCGTTTCCGATTACGCCTTCCCCCGCACTCGACAGCATCCCCATCCTGTTCCTATAATTCAAGAGCAACGAGTTTTTGCCCAATCGCTATACGCTGATTCTACGACGTTCTTCTCGCCCGGCGATATAGTTCCCGTCACTGCGTCAGGGAGAACCGCCATAACGGATGAACCGGAGGACATGGATCCGTTCGGGAGTGGTGAAGAGAGTCTGTTGGAGACGCCGCGTAAAGTGAAGAGTGCGAGGGATCTCGGGGTGTCGGCGGAGCATGGGGCGGCACAAAGCAGTCGTGAGTGATTCCTCAGCATATCGGGGCTCTACTGACATTCACTAGCGGCTCGTGTGTTCTCTCGGGACATGTACGGATCACCGTCCGAGGACTCCACCAGCAGTACCTCCCACTCTACCCAGCTCCTGTCTCCTACTCCCGAGCGCATCGGTACTCATCGCCGTGCCGAGTCGAGCCCCTCACCTGGCCGCAAATCTAGAGAAGCTTTCTTGCGTGCTGCCAAGCGCTCGTCTTCTCCCTTCGAGATCAAGCTCTCGCCGCATGTCACTAGGCGCATGTCTTTAGATGCGTTTGGTACGCCAACTGCGCCCACCTTCACCAACTCTCACGAGAAAGAGGAAGGGGTTGAGGAGCTTGCCGAGTATGAAGAAAGCTTCGAGGAAGAAGTCAGCTGGGAAGAGAACCAACTCAGTCTGCAAGACCGTTTCGAAGATCAGCAAGTGACGCAAGTCTACGAGCAAGACATGAGGTCGTACGACGAAGTCCTCGCCGACTTTCAAGCTACAGAGCTATCTACCATCATGGAGTCTTCTTCCTCCAGGGGCCACGAGTCTCAGTATATGTCTTCTGAGGGTCGTCTTACCAGACGCTCTACCCCTCCTCCTGCTCGTCCGTCATGGGACTTGTTCTCGGAGAGGACCCAAGAACGCCTTCCTACAACCCCGGGCCTGTCTTCCAATGGTCTCCCTCTGCCATCTCCTACTCCCACCACACCTCTCATTCATAAAAAGTACGCCTCCGCCCCTCCCCTAGTCGGCGTATCTCCACAACTACTCGACGCCCATCTCGAACACTCTCAATCTCTTCAAGACCAAGTGAAGGCTGGTGTTACCATGATGGAAGTGTTGAAGAGTGAGGTGGCAGAGATGAGACGCAGACTAGCCAAGGAGAGGGAAGAGAAGGAAAAGTTGCTGGCGGCACTGGAAGAAGAGAGGGAAGAGAAGGAGGAGCTGGGGGTATTTGCGGAGGGGAGGGTCATTGATCTTGAGGAGGCGCACAGGATGAGCGAGGCGAAAGATCAAGGTGAGTTTCAGCCCAGTACTAGGATGAGTAGTTGCTGATCAGTCGTTAGCTCTGGAACAACTTCGCCAAGCCATGGCCGCCCATGAACGCACCCTGGAAGAGATCCGTGAGGACAAGGTCTTTTACGAAGAACGCTGCGAAAATCTCGAAGGCGAAAACGAACACCACCTCTTCGCCAAACAGACCGCCGAACAATGCCTCTTGGAGGCCGACAACGAAAACGAAGAACTCAAACGTGAGCTGAGAGAACTACAAGACAAGAACGACAAACTGTCAAAGGGAAAGAAGGCAGCGGATGATGTCGTCTGCGATCTGAAGAGCGAGCTGAAGTATGTCGAGAGCAGGCTTGCCGACTTTGAAGGGTGCGAGGCACAACTCCGAGATGCTGAGGCCGAGGTGCTTGAGCTGCGTGGCAGCAAGGAGCGGGCGGCCGAGCTGGCGAAGGATGTCAAGCGCCAGACAAGGCGTCTTGCAGAGAGGGATGGGACGATCTCGACTTTGCGCTTGGAGATGAGCTCTCTCAAGTGCGAGATTCTCGATCTTACCGAGTCGTCTCAACAGCTTGCTGCGTCCAAAGCGCTTGTTAAAGAGCGTGAAGCTTCCATCGCCTCCCTCACGGCTCAGCTGGCCGACCTCCAAAACCAACTCACATCCTCCCAAATCGACGCCCAGGCCGACAAACTCTTGCTCGTCACAAAAGACCAGACTATCGACGAGCTCAACGAAAAGCTCCGTCTGGTCCGCTTTGAAACAAACGAAAAGCATTTCGAGTCACAAGAGGCGTTGGGAAAGATGAGGGGGCAGGTGGAGGAATCTTCGAGGCTCGGGGCCGAGAGGGAGATGGCGGGGATGAGGGCGAATGAGATGCTTGCTAGGTTGATGGAGGAGAAGCGCGGGTGGGATGAAGAGAGAGAGGAGGTGAGTAATTTCTGAAGTGTGACTGGGAGAAGATACTGACTGGATGTAGCTCTACGAGACGTTGAATCGCGCTCCGACTGGCGAGGAGGAATCCGCCTCTGAGCTTCGTTCTGAGATCCAAGAGCTCTCTTGGCAGCTCGCCAACACCATGCGCGACCTTCAAAGTCTCCAAGACCAACTCGACGTTCAAGATGCCTCTCTTCAGCACAAGACTGCTCTCATCACCACCCAAGAGACCGAGCTTTCCAACCTCCGCCATGCCCTTGTCGATGCCGAAGAATCTGTGGCACACAGCAAGGCTGCTAGCGAACGACAAAGCAAGGACTCGGAGAGGTGTCTCGAGCGTCTCAGGGAACAGGTCCAAGAGCTCGAGAGCCGCTTGTGCTCTCATGACTCTGCCCTCCGGTCTGCTGTGCTAGAAGCTGAGAGCGGCAAGGTCTCTTCACAAGACTCCAAGTGGAGGATCGAGAGGTACATGGCCGATATCGACGAGCTCAAGCTTAGCGAGACCAAGCTGCGCACCCAGGTCGAAGAGCTTCGGAGGCAGTCTGCTATGGGCGAAGTTGCTCGGGTTGATTTGGAGAAGAAGGTCGGAAAGCTGGAGCAAGACAAGGAGCTGCTGAATGTGGCTCTCGAGAGCAAGCAGATGGAGGTTGTGCTTTTGCAGAGGAAGGAGAAGCACCGTGCTCCCACGCCTACTCGAAGCGCCCTGAGACCAACCCATTCCGCCTTGGCCGATTCGATCTCCCACATCCCGCCCACACCTACTCCTAGCAGCGGTCTCGACCATACTCCCCTCCCTCGTCGTCTCGCAACATCGACATCCGCTACTCCTGCATCTCCTCGTCATCGAAGCAATACGGTGGCCGCTTCCAGACCATCTTCCACCCGCATCCCGCTTGGCGCGTCTACACGCCACAACAGGGTGTCCGATGTCTCGCGTATGGCCGCTGCTGGAAAGGCGCCCACCGCCAAACAGGTGGAGCCGGCAGCGGAGAAGGGAAAGGGAGTGGTGAGGAGAACCAGCTTGCCGGTGCTGGTCGCCAGGCCGGGAAGCGCTGCTACTGGGGCTTTACAGTCGGTGAACGAAAAGTAGAAAAATCAACCAACAGATATGACAGAGATGACGATGACGAAATATCGAAACGATTTTGGCATATCTAGCCTGTAACATATCAACATCTATACGTAGTCGAACCAGTAGAGCGAACTTGATGAGGTGTCTTGTCATGCTGGGGGCTGTATATAGTTGTACAGTACTCGTATACAAATGCATCTTGGGAAGTTTCGTAACCAGGTGAACCGTCGACTATTGGCATGTGTTGTCCATGATTATAGGCCATCCTGAGAACTGAGACGGAAATTATATATGGGTCAAGTGACCTTTTGGACTACTTCTAAACCGTCTATTGACCTCTCCCTTTCTATTTCGTGTTGCGTTAGAACTACACCTCCTCAAGCGTAACCCTTCCCATCGAGTCTGTTCTCAGTCACTTGGACGTGCTTGGACAAACATGAGAGAATCCTGTCGGTATTTCCTTTAGGGGCAAGAGCATAGTTCCCTTTCTGCTCGAGCAGACGTCGGAACTCGTGAGGGAAATCGGTGATGACACCTTCGACGCCGAGATCCAGGAGGTATTCGAAGAGGTTCTTGACACTGTCAATCGTCGTTAGCCGAGTATGGAATGGCACAGTAGGGACCTACTCAGGAGTCCAAGGCTTGACACCAAGCCCGAGAGAGTGGGCAGTATCAACCATCGTCTTGTTGGTGAACGCCACAAAGCCAGGGAAGCCGGGACCAGTTACATCAGAAGCATACTTGTCCTTCATCAGTATCATCCATATGAGGCAGTGGCAATGATACTCACGGAAGTAGCGACAGGGGACAGGAAGTCGGCATTGATGAAAGCGGCAGCCCGCGCAACCCGCTCCCCCACGGTGTCACCCTCGAGTTTGTCAATATCGATACCGGCAAGCCAGTTGGAAGGGCCAGAGCCGGGGTTGCCGAGGTTGGCTTTTGTACCATTCTCGTGGTTGGCCCAGACTATTATTGGTATCAATGTATACCCCAAGAATCTAGATGAGAGGGAAACATACTGGTGGTGTCATCGCAAAGAGCAGATGTTCGCAGGTTGGGATACTTCTCCTTCGAGAGCTTGATGGACCTCCAGTCAAAGCTCTGATGGGTGATCCTATCAACCACATCCTCCCCTTGGGCATAGAAGATTGTACCCATAGCATCCACAAAATCTTCAGGACCACGTGTGAGATTGTGATAGTCACCGTCGACTTTGGATTCAATGTTGAAAAGGACGGGCTCGTCGGTGGCGCATTTTACGAAATCGAACATCTCTTGGAGGGTAGATACTTTGGTGCCGGCGTAGACATCTGAAGACTGTGTCAATCGAGATACAAAGCTGGGGTTCGCGCATACGTACCTTGGAGTGGAAAGTCGGCCTGTCGCAATGAACCACAGTCGAGAGTCTTGATCTGACCTAGGGTACTGCACCATACAGATGAGCGACATTGAGTTCCCTCGGTAGGCCAATCGACACTTACAGGTTGGCGATGTATTTACCGACATAAGGATAGTCGGGGTCGTCTTCGAATGCAGGAGAGGTGTCTCGACATTTGGTATCCACAAAGTTTTCATCGTGCCAGACTACAACTTCGCCATCTTTGGTCACGCCGCCTAGCTCAAACGTCAGTCGGGGTCGGCATTCTGCTGGGATGACACTCACAGTCCAACTCAAGCGACGTTACACCGTTAATCAAGCCCCAGGAGAAAGATGGAAGTGTGCTACCAGGAGTTAGTCTATCCCCAGAATGATCAGATACAGGATGCTCACTTTTCGACAGTCTCTCCACGCCCACCTCGATGGCCTTGCAGGTCCCAGTACTTGGAATACTCCCATCGTCGGAATGGGGCAGCGAGAGCCGGGACGCTGACTGCAATAAGAGTGGTAGCGGATAGTAGAGCGGACACCATATCACAAGATCCAAGAAGAGCTGATAGCAGTGCTGGCAGGCAGAAGAGATGGAAGATGAGATGGCAGAGCGCGCCGTATATATAGCCGAATTAGAAAAGTGGATGCTATCGCCGAACAATTTACAGCGGAGAGCAGATGTCAAGAACGTGGAAACTTTCGGTCGAATTGGATCCATTTCGAAAAGCAAATGCGGGAGAGATAAGAGGGGTTATCATGTTCCGGACCGAAATCCGATCGAAAGACGTGAACGTGACCGACGGCAATGCGTGCGTTTCATCTCCACTTCTATTGCAGCAGTCGCTTCGCGCTTGGGGCGCTACATAGTTAGGAGAGCGTTTGTGGATATGCTCCGGTCAGCATGCCTCTCCTCTGCTCTGCCATGTGTCCCTCTGCTGCCCCATGCATGGTACTCGACGATAGCGGGAGTGACGTACCTAGTCTAGAGCGAAACAGGTAATTTTGATCATTTATCACGTTGGCGCGCGTCAGTGGACGCGTTCGTTGCTCACGAACGTGCGGCGGCCATGCCCGAGTCTTGACTGAGGATACGTGTGGATGCGTGGCAGCTCAGAGGCCTGGGCCCATCTCTGATCTCACAAGTGTTGGCAAGCTGCCCATCACGTTGTTGAGAGATGCCACCGCTCGGTGTTCCGAGCCTTTCTTCACAACTCCATAAGGCCCTTGGCCGACGAGCGGCGGGACCCGTAACGCAGAAAATTAAAGCGGATGTATGCATTTTCACTATCATTTTTTAGACTGTACAAGCATCTATTGTACGAAATCGCCATCCTCCCTCTCCTTCCCCTTCCTTGAGCGGTTGCTCTTCCTCAACGGCTCTAGACTCTCCGTCAATCTTGTTGTTGATCAATGCAAGAAATACGCCAAACATAACAATCAACTCTGGATCCGACCCATACCTCCATACACCGTAACGGTGTCTACCCTTTCCTTCGCCGCCCGGGGTGCCATGACAAGTCTGATAGGAACATCTGTACTCGTCCAAGGCGGAGGCTTGACTGCCGGGATGACCACGCGAAGAGGCTTTCCAAGTTTCTTCTCAATGGTCTTGTCTTCTCTCTCTCTGGAGCCATTCGCGTCGACAGTGCGAGATTTGATGAAAGGGATAGGAGCAGGAATGGACTCTCGGAGCTGAGACTTGGCGATGAAGGCTGGCGAGAAGGAATTTACGGGAGGTATATATTGGCCGTTGGAACCGCCAGGGAGGAAAGAAGACATCCAGGCTTTGTAGAATCCACGCCAAGCTGCTTTCAGCGGTACGTGATGACCTGCAGACACAATCAGCACACCATCGGTCCACGCTTCTTGAGTGACTCACCTCCGTCGTGGTATTCGACTCTGCTATTGGGACAGAGCCCAGCGAGATACAAACATTCCTCCGAAGACAGCAGAGTGTCAAACTTGCCAATCACGTGGAGTGTGGCAGTGCTGGGCGTGAGGGGATAGAGATGGGTGTATTTGGGATGAGGGGCGTGCCTGCCAGAGGGGAAGAAGCCGGAGTTGCATATGAAAACTGTATCAATCCCCGTCAGAACTCGTCCTTGACGTCCCGCGCGAGGGTAACAGGGAACTGCTTACACTTGAGAGGCTGAAGAGAGGGGTGTGGCAAAAAGTCCGAATCACCATGATCACCATTCTCAAGCTGTATGCGAAGGACCGTCAGCGGAATCCGTACATGAGTCTAGCATCAATCGCGTTTCACGGAGACTTTGCTTTGTGGGTACAACGCGGTGACTCACCATACCAACAATGACCGATGCTAGCACAGCACCTGAAGAGAACGCAAAGAAGCCCTGCAAGCCCGAAGATGACAACATCAGCATATGTTGGCTTACAAAAGGATTAAGGGGGCATTCCTCACATCGAAAGGGCCGTTTGCGATCATGAACTCGCGCACATAGTTCAACCCCTCGCCAAAGCCTACACCAGTCACCCGTCTATCAGCACGCTGCTCTAACGGCCACCTTGGGAGAACCTACCTCCATCACCGTGCCAATCTGATCCACCATCGTACCAAGCTCGAGGCATATCATGAGGTGTGCGGGAGACCTGCCAGCCGGTCGTCTGACGGGCTTCCATCATGGGGTTTAGGATGGGCATGTCAGGGGGTTCGACAGTGAAGGGTGGTTCGAGTACGACTGCGATAAGGCGTCTCAGCGGGGGTCATGTTATTGAAGGCTGATACAAGAGCCGGCAGAGCGCAAGAGAGAGAGATAGACGGTGCTTACCCAGTTCGATGAGACCAGCACATTCTTTCTGAAGACGAGACAGCTGATAGAAGTCAACACAGGCCACAGCGCATACCGGAGGCAAGGGACATTGACTCACCTCTTGGCTGAATATGTACTTGTTGGATGTGAAGCCGCAGAAACACAGAACACGAAGCATCTTGATTTTCTGTTGATATGGCTGAAGATAGTACAACTGCAAGACTCGCCTGACTTGATGGATCTGAACGTAAATTGTCAGTCTGGGAATCACCTCCATTTTATATGCCCTGGCAGCCAGTTGGCCAGTGATTTATGAACACGTTGAAAGATGAAAGAAAGGTCTCACGGTTAGTGATCTTCTGAATGATAAGTAGGGTACAAAGTACCATCTAACCCCTTTGCATCATGAGAAAAATCAAACGTCGTCGTCAAACACGCAGTGCCCACTTTTCTCCGCCGGTCTTGATCAAAGGGGATGCTGGGGGACGACGGGAGGGCGGCAAGGAGACCCAGTTGTGTCAAGCAAGAGCCCCCACTTTTGGCGACGGAGAATTTCGTGCCCGACCCTCTGGGCGCACGACCCAACAGGGCAAAAGACAGAGAACAGATCAGCAGCAGCAGAGAAGGAGAGTGCATACGATCGTATGGCTCTGGTCATTCTTCTTCAAAGAATACGGGATGTGAGGAATATTGCTATAGAGCGGTTGTCCAGCGATGGCTGCTGTGCGCTGCAAAAGAGCGGATTGAGTGATGCGGATTGTTTCGCCGTCAGATGTTGGTGCCTCGAGGTACCATCAGAGACGCAGTCTGCCCCGGAGCCGGATGCCTTTCGCAGCGATCACCCTCCAAACGTGCCCTGCAGGGTGGTGATCAGCAGGTGCTCAAGCCGGCACAAGTAAGCCGTCGCGTCAGCCAGGTACATTAGAGTACCGTATAGCTGGGTGGGGGCACAGTCGGGCGCGAGTCAGTGGCCAGAAGCCGGTCAAAGGTCAGAGATCCGAGGTTATTAGGGAACGGAGGGGACGGGAAAGGGTTGCAATGTTGAATGATGGACTTGTTGTTGAGGGACGACACAGACACTATAGCGCATTTTCCGACGACTGTACTTTTGAGATGCCTGCCTGCCCTGGTGACCCTGGGGGGAGTGGAGATGATGCACGATGCACAATGCGTCCCAGCGATTTACTATGTATGCATATACATACATCGATGGGATAACTTCGCTTCAACGCACCTGGATCGCTTGGATCCTGAAAATGGAGGATGATTGCTTGCGTGCCTCCTCAGCCCTCGAGCCTCCATAGCAGCTGGCCCAGCTGGCATCAGTTGATGATCGACCTCATGTTTCTGTTGAGCAACAACTACAGGCGGGATCAGGGGTGAGTCAACAGATCCAACCTTAAATAAGTATACTGTCTGTAGGATCCCTACATGCATGGCGATTTGAGCGGAAAGAGGCAGGCGGCCCTGGATCCTGGAGAAGCAGGAGCGCGTTCATACTAGCGTAGCTACTTTAGTACTTTTGTACACTCGCGGTCAATATGCTTCATGCCTCATCCTTTTCGCTTTGTTGCTCGGCCTATTAAGCTTGACAAGTCTATGTTTAGCCTCCTGGTCCTGATCCTCTATGAGAGCATATAATGTCACCGTATCTGATCCATCCAAACTACCGTCGTAGTAAGGGCTTCACGTGTTCGATGCAAAAGTTTTAGCTTTTGATACACGCGTCTTGAAGAGCGCACCACACAATCAGGCAGGGGAAGATCCGTCGGAGGCGTACTCTGTGTTCGAATGCAGTTGGGCATTGATGTCCACGTGTCCTCGTCCCCTCCAGATGTGGGTGCGCCGACTTCCCTGGGGTGGGTGGGGAGGGGAAGGGCTTGTGTCGAGCCAGGGTGCGCGAGGGTGTAGAGTTGGGGATGTACTTCCGAAAGCAAACTTCATTGACCTACATATTCAAATAATGCCAGATGGCAATGCATGCTCCCGGCGAAACAATAATACCTCTCCGCCAAGCATTATAACGACAGCCCAGCCGCCTTCTCCTCGATCTCCGCCACCTTTCCATCACCCTTCACTTCCTTGACCTCCTTCTCTGTCGCTTCCCCAACCTTGGCGCCCTCGACAGGCTTGGCCTCCTTGGGCTGCTTGGGTTGCTTGGGCGTCTTGGGAGTGGGGGTGTTGGAGCCGGACTTGCTGCCCTTGCCGCCGCCGGACGCGGGGGCGTTGGCACCGTTGGGTCCGTAAGAGTCGATATCGGGAAGGTCGCCGTTGGCACCACCGGGGGCAAAAGAGTTGATGTAGGCACTACCGGATGTATAAGTCGTGCTCAGCCAGTCAACCGTAAACTTGCGCTCACTTCAAGAAATGTCTCCACGACGCTTTTGAGGGAGTGTAGTGTCCACCATCATGCAGCTCGAACCTCGCGTTCTCACACCTGCTCGCCAATATTTGACTTCTCTCGGGCACGATCAAAGTGTCGTTTTTGCCAGAAATATGGAGGGTGGGGAGAGAGGCGGGGAGAGGGAAGTAGTTGGAAAAGTCGTGCGACTCGCATTTGGGCTCATAGCCAGGAAGAAAACCGCCGATGAAGATAGCGACTAGATCAAGTGTCAGCTTGGGAACTCGGTAGAGAGGGAGGAGATGTACATTTCAGTCTGGGGATGTTCTCGTGGGCGGGGAAGAGAGGGTTGATACCGGGCTTCTCAATCTGAAAATTTCGGTTAGCCGAAGTCATGATGCCAGAGGGAGACACCTGCCAGAGCGGCGAGAAGAGCGGCCATACCAGCACCCTGCGAGAAACCCACGACACCCTACACACAATCAGCATACAATATGGGAACTTGATAAGAGGTACCCACGTCAAAAGGTCCATGCTCAACCATGTAGTCGTGGAGGAACTTGACAGAGTCGTCGAATCCTAGAGTGGCAAAATCATCAGCATGGTCGGGCATAGCCGAGAATCGTGCTTACCCTTATAGGTCTTCCAGTTGTCGGCGTTGATCCACCAGGCTCGGGGAGTAGTCTCGGCAGTCTGGTTCTCAGCGTCCATGCTGGCGCTAGAGCCGAACTGGTCGAGGTTGGACTCGTTGACCCATGGCAGGTCGGCCTTCTCGACAACGATGGGAGGGTCGACAAAGACTGCAGCAATGTTAGATCATGGTCATAGTTGGCAGATGTATGGACGAACCAAACTCGGTGTTCTTGCAAGCCTTTCGGACGGCACCGACCTAAAGGGCGCAATTAGTAACCAGGCAGTGAGCATACACAGAAGATGACGCACTTGCTTGGAGTAGATGTAGGCGTTCTGGGTGAAGCCACAGAGAGTGAGGATACGGATAGTCATTTTGTCTAGGTGTCTATTAAAGATGAACAGATGGTAATGCAAGATCCGATGGGAGAAAAGCGAAGTAGAGGATTGACGTGCTTATATGTCGAGGACTTCGCTTTCTCGACTTTTTTATCGTTATCTTTGCTTCCGCTAAAGCCCGGTCCTCCGCCGCCGCCGCATCGCCGTCCGCCGCTTCCGAAAGCTTTACGTAACAGTCGCGTACTCCTCTGCAGCTGCTGCTGCTGGCCTCCACCATCGCGCCTTTTCGATCCGATCAGCAGCCGTCATTTGTTTACTCTTTGGTTCTTCGCTTATCTTGCAGACTATTATGGGGCCAAGGAGAACGACCCGGGGATCAAAGAAGCGGGAGGTAGTGACGGATCCGGAAGAGGCCAAACCTCAGTATGATCTCGTCCAGTTTCCCTATCTTGCGACGCTTAATGACCCTCAAGCCCTAGGTGAGGACCAAGTCTGTTCAGACGTAGAGGATTAGCGCTGACCAAAACTGAAGCTGTTACCGCTACACCAAGTACCCCCCTGCAGATTCTGGCAGGGCCCGGGTCGGGAAAGACGAGGGTCTTGACATCACGGGTAGCATATCTTGTCCAGCATTATGGGTATCTACCGAGGGAGATTGTCGCCGTCACATTCACCAACAAGTCTGCGAGCGAGATGCGCAATCGCCTGAAGAAACTACTGGGGGAAGAGAAAGCAGGGCAGCTCATCCTAGGTAAGATCTTTCTCCATTGATAGACCACTGCTGACTTTGTTACAGGCACCTTCCACTCGACTTGCGTCAAGTATCTTCGTCGTTTCGGAAAGATCATCGATCTGCCCAACAATTTTGTCATTGCTGACGCGGATGACTGGTAAGTCCGTATCCCGCGTTACGCTCCTGCTGACCTTTCTACAGCAAGAAACTCATAGCAAACATGCTCAAGGAAAGAAAAGAACAACTCGCCGAGAACTCAATGTCCATCAAGGAAGGCGCCGTGTTGTCTGAAATCTCCAATGCTAAAGCCAAAGGTGAATCTCCAGAAGAAATGGCGGTGAGGGCGAGGAACGACAAAAATCTATCGACAAGCACGCTTTTGGTCATATCCCAGCTCTATCAAGAATATCAAGTGCAACTGCGCGAGAGCAACTCGTTGGATTTTGATGACTTGTTGGTGTATGCGTTGAGGCTGTTTACAGAAGCCCCGAGGGTGGTTGAAGATGTCAAACATATCTTGGTCGACGAGTTCCAGGTGAGCAACCTCTTTTTGGTTTTTCTGACACGCCGCTAAACGATGGACAGGACACGAATATCACACAATACGAGCTCTTGAAATGTTTTGCCAAGGCGCATATGGGAGTCAGCGTTGTCGGAGACCCAGATCAATCCATCTATGGCTGGAGAGCATCTGATATCGAAAACCTCAACAAGATGTACAAGGGTGAGTGCGCCGTCTATGCGGGACTTGACTGATTCGAGCCTTCTAAGACTTTCCGGGAGTGGAGGCGATCTATCTGGAGGAGAATTATCGCTCGACTGGGGCTATATTGGATGCTGCCCATGCCGTCGTATCGCAAGGTAGGTCGCCCCTCTGTCGATATGATGGTGCCCCGCTCACTCATTGTAGATAGTAAACGTATCCAAAAGAGCCTTTTTACATCCCACCCTCAGAGCACACCCGTCATCCTCAAAACATTCGCTACGCCCACTATTGAATCGAGCTTCATCTCTTCCGAGATCAAGCGGCTTATTGCATATTCGGGAGGCATGCTCAAGTTTGACGACTTTGCCATTCTGCGTGAGTGTCTGCTTTCGCCCTAGAGTGAGGTCTGACAGTCCTGGCAGTACGATATAACGCCTTGTCTCGAGTGATCGAATCTGCACTTCAGAAAGATAGTGTCCCAAACAAGATTGTTGGCGGACACAAGTTCTTTGAACGTATGGAGGTCAAGGATCTCCTTGCGTACTTGCAGCTTGCCGACAATCCTGGCTTCAATGTATGTTACTGATTTCCTTGAGGGGCATGACTGACTCCGTTTTAGCCTGCTTTCATGCGAGTGATCAATGTCCCAAAACGATTCATCGGCGAAAAGGCAAGCTTCCCCATACTGTCTCGAGATAGCTGCTGATCGCTTCTATAGGCTCTTCGCGCCATCACGGACGGAGCAAAAAAGGACAAAATCACCCCCATGGAATTATGCGAACGCATCACCGACGGCGAACGGCTCCCAGAAGGCATCAAACCGAACGTCCAAAAGAACCTGGCGTCGTTTGTAGGCGCAGTGAGGAAATTGAGGAGGGTGGCGGAGAAGGGGACGACAGTGTCTGGTTTGCTCAAGATGGCGATTGAGAAGACGGGGTATGAGAATCATTTGAGGACTTCTCAGCAGGACTTTGATTCGCGGTGGGAGAACGTCAAGGAATTAGTGAGTCCTCACGTCACTTGTGGCTGTGATGCTTATGAGGCTCTAGATATCCTACAGCGTCACTGTTGCCGAGGAACAAAATCGGGCCAGCGAGAATCGAGAGAGTAGAAACTCTGAGGACCTGGACGACATTGGCTTCCAGCGCCCTTCAACCGCCGTCGTCGAAGCCGTTGCCAACAAAGCCTACGACGAGGAAAAGGCCAAGGAGGAGAAGAAGTTGCACCCCATGTTTGCGCGAAGTAGGAGTAGAAGCGGTAGCGTGAGTGGGAGTCGAAGTGCTAGTGTGAGCAGAAAGACTGTGAAGACGAAGGAAGGGGAGGACGGGGTAGTGGAGCTGTTGGATAGTGAGGATGAGGAGGATGCTAAGCCAAAGCAGGGGCTGGAGAGCGTCAGCGAAGAGGTGGAGCCAAAGACGGTGGTGAAAGAAGAGAAGGTTGGGAATGTCGAAGAGGTCTCCGCCGACCTGGTAGAAGAGCTTGCCAATGCCCCCGAGAAGTAAGCCCGTTTCTCATACCCCATGACATATGCTGACCCATGTAGTCTCACGCCTTTGGCATACTTTTTGCAAGTCTCGATGTTGTCCACAGATACCGAGTCTGAGGAGCAGCAGGAGAACAGCGACACGCCCGTGAGTTCAACGCACTGCCTCTGACCAGATGCTGACCTTTCTGCAGAGGGTCACCATCACCACCGTGCACGCTGCCAAGGGATTAGAGTGGCCGGTAGTCTTTATTCCTGCCGGTGCGTTGTACTCTCTGGTTTCTATGGATGTACTGACCTCTGGCGTAGTCGAACAAGGAACGTTCCCTTCATACCGATGTACAGAGGAGCATGAGATAGCGGAAGAGCGTCGACTACTCTATGTCGCTATGACCAGGGCTCAATGCTTCTTGGTGAGTAACCGACAGCCTATGACAAGCAATCGCTGACTGTGCCGCTAGACTCTCTCGCATTGTAATTTCAGAATGATGGGCGGGGAAGACAAGGATAAGCAGCTGAGCGAGTTTGTGAGCGATGTTCAGCGCAAACTTCCCGTGAGTGTTCGGCTTTTTGTGCGAATCCTTCGGTTGCTGATTGATATCCTAGGGAACTTTTGTACAAGATCTTCCAAAACCGGATGTCGAGGCCAGAAAGCGCGTGTCGACAATGTTGGAAAGGCCGCTTAGCGATGAGGCTGATACAACCGCCATGATCATGAAGCAGTACGTTGTACCCTCGGCAGATTGAGCAATGCTAATATGTACCAGTGTTCGTGCAGCGCCTCCGATGAGCACCTGGGATGCGCCAGAGTCTGACAACTGGGGAGGCAAGATCAACCGCTTTGCTCGCCGCGAAGTCACCAAAACTGCTCGTAGTGCGGAATATTGGGCTTCCGGGACCGACGATTACGCTCTCCCTGGGTCCGCCGGCTCGTCCACGTCGGGCTTCCAAACCGCTCGTTCAAGTATGTCCCAATCTCGCCCCCCCTTTTCGTCCGAGCCAAAAAAGCCGCCCCCTCGGCCAGTCAACAACCTGTCTGCAAACCGAAACCTTCCGACTGCACTACCATTCACGTTCAACACGACGCCACAGCAGAGCGAGGAGGCGTCGCTGGGATCATTTATGAGTGGATCAAACAAGGGGTTGGAGATGATGGCAGGTCTGGGTGGACTGCCGCCTGCCGAGACGCCAGTATCCGGAGCAAGCGCGGCTGGTGCGCGAGGGACCAAGAGGCTAGGTATGGGCCGACCTGCCCCTTGGGGTAGTAAGAAGTCTCGAGAGGAGTAAAATTGTCTCATTCTTGATCTTGTTTTTGTATCGCTATCTGAGAGGTATGTATCTTACAGCATCTTGTCCATGTAGACTACTCGAGTATACTGTAGATGATGAAACATGTCATGGTGTACAAATTCAATGTCGCTCATGAAACGCTACTCTACTTGCTCGGCTTCGGCTTGGCCTTAGGATCCTGACTGGAAGGCTTCTTTGGATTATCTTTCCCTCCGTTTTCAACCTTCTTCTTTGCTGGAGGCTCGGGTAGAAAGTTGCCAATAAACTTGATGGCTCCCTAGGCATCAATGGTAAGCACTGGACTGCCCCGTAGTTCATTGCACGGACGACTTACAAATACCGGTGTCTTTGATGTGACCTTTTTGGTTTTCGGATCCTTCTTCTCATCATGGTAGATGATGCTGTACATACAGACGCAGAAGATGGCTTTCAACTGCCAAACGACCCTGTCAGTAATACGTAGTGGGGTGAGTAATATGGCTGACCTTTGGCCACCAGGTCAAAGTGCGGGTCTGATCTCGAAACATGAGCAGTTCAAAATACTCTAGCACCATCACAATTGGCCAGTAAGATAGCCTTTGGCACAAGCGTTAGTAAAGCGCTAACTCAAGGATAGATTGATACTCACCACAATGTTCTATCCTTGCCCGAATTGATGGACTTGTAAGTGCAAAACATCGGTGTGAGATACACCGAGGGCCAGGGTATCAAAAAATGGTAATACCATGGAGCTGCATACCTTCGGATTGGTGAGCTGAGCATAAGCCGATCATGACAAACAACTCACCAGTATACGATATGCAAGACCACCCATATACCTATCGCCAGATGTGGAGGAGCAACAACATCCAAAAACTCGAACAGCGCTGGACACCTCCCCTTGATCTGCACTCTGGTCATTAGCATACCGGACTAACGTTATTGAGGCGACGCACCCAACCGTCCACTAGCTCCCCAGCCTTGACACCCTCTGGATTAAGCTCCCCTCGCTTTTTTGCCTCCTTCTTTTTCGCCTTTTTGATCTCTTCTTCCTCGTCCTTCTCGGCTTGCTGTGCTAGGTGAATGTGGTAGAGAGCAGCTTGCTGAGCCGGCCCCCATCCTGTCGTCAGAGCGGCCGCTTCGAGTTCAGTAGGTTTTTTGGACATTCAAGACGGGTGAGCAAGATTGCAGAGGTGGCCAACTGAAGATACCGGTGTATTGCGAACAGTATAAGCGGTGTCGTCCTTTGTGTTTGCTCCTTTGAAGATGGCAAGCTGGATAATGCATCTGTCAGAGGGTCACTACAGGGCCTGTCGAGTACATAGAGAGAAGCTGCATAGGAAAATGAGATACGTCGGTGACAACGTGAGTGACGGGCAAACCACCGGACCCCATGCAGCATGTGCCGAGCTGAGGCGGGGTGGTTTTTGCGTCGGGGAAGGATGAGGCTTCACCGACAGCAGCTTCGATGTTAGATTACACCCCGTCCAGTAGACACACGTACCAAGCGAAGCATAAACGGGGGTCAGGAGCCAAAAACTGGCGTAGGGGTTCATCTCGATGAACGTCAGTCCGTAGCTGTTAGAGATGTTAAGATGGGGGCGGAGCATCTACTCGAGGAGGCTCTGTATACCTTTCTGAGGATCACTTCCCTCGTCCTATCACATCCTTATTAGGGTGGGTGGTTCAATTGTGTCGAAACAAACAGAGTCTTGGTGTCCCGCCGATTTCTAGCTCATGACCGATCCACTGCTCTTGTTAGAGAAGGACGAGGGGTGGAGGGGCGGAAGTCGGTGAAGGGTGATGGAGGAATAGAGTCATGGTTAGCCAACCGTGTTTGCTCGGTACATGCACTACACTACCAAGATATCGCTTTTGTCGTCGGTCGGCTGGCTTTCGGCTGGTCGTCGGGCGCCCGGATCTCTGTCTCTTGCCTCAACATGTACTCAATTTCCTCTTTTCTTCTTGGTTTCCCCTGGTATCCTAAGCACAAAAAAAGCACGGAGACGGAACAGGCAGGGGATACAGGCAAAGAGCAAAAAGAACTAGTTCCAGAGGGGATCGAACCCTCGACCATCCGCGGTTTCAAAGTCGACAGTCATTTTGTAAAGCGGGTACTCTAACCACTGAGCCATGGAACTTTTGAAGCTTTTTGAATGCTAATTACGTATAGAGCCAAACCCAAACACACTCATTATGCTCCCAGAGATGCTGTACCGGCTCCCTCGACCCGTGTCTACCAATCTGGTACTGAAGGGATCCCCTCAGACAGCGGGTCTGTCTTCTGCCACCAAACGAACCTTTTTGTTCTTGTCTCTTGATGTGTCATTTGGCGGGGGGCACACTGTTTGGACTGGAGGGAGGACAGGACGAGGGAATTATGCCCATACAGCGTCAGAAGAGAGAGCATCTGTAACTTTTCAATGTGCATGCGGAGCATTTAGTGGCGCCTTCGATAAACCCATAGGATAGGGCCTTGATCCGAGTCAGCATTATGCATAATCTGTACTGGAAGTGATATCATGTTGTTGCACAGTCTTATTGAAGGTGTACCTCACAAGTCTGCTCACCCGCTCGAAATCAAGCTAAGCACCCAATGCGACTAGTTCATGAAAAGGCGAATGGGTATCATGCACGCAAACTACATAAGCCCCAAAAGTGCTATGCTTGAACGAGGTCCAATGTTCTGACTTTGTTCTAAACCAAAGGTCGTCAGCTTCCCACTCCATCTTCATCTCGACCTCAAGTCACATGATGATGCCGCTCAGGTTGGGCGAATGAGGCGGGGACATACCTCCAGAGCAAACAGATAGTCATCCCTGACATGTGGATAGAGGTTCTTGACGCTCTCTGCGAGTTTGTACAAGTACTCCTGTATTCCACGGATCAGCTACCGTCTCTCATATCATATCCTCTGTATCTTAACAGAAAGGAAAGGGGATTGTAGCAAAATAGAAACGTACTTTGTTGGGTCCAGAAGGCCCCGAGCGGACGGCTATCGTTTGTGCTATCTTGTCTAATGGTTCGTATCCAACTTGCAAACGGTCAGTGCTCATGCAAGACGGATCGAAGTAGAGATAAGATCGTACCGAATGCAGGATCATCAGGCTTTCCTATCCATATCGTCGACTATATCTCAAGTCAGCAGCTAGCTCGACAGCGACAGCTGGCAGGGAAGCTCACATCTTGAACAACAATGTGCTCTTGCTTGCCGTCTGCCGAGAGACCGTACACTGGGACGTGGTGGCAGGTGTAGCCGTTCTGTACCGTATCAGCTGGGCAGGAGGATCGGATGGATCGAAGTAGATACCTTCTCGCGATACTCTATCACATCATCAGCTACGCTGTCTCCTAGAGAACAAGGATGTACTCGCCCATGTAAGCTTGCACTTTTGGCTCTTTCTCGGGGTCTATCCGGTATGCTACACCCCATACATAATCGTCTGCCAGCACTTGTCCATCTTCAGTTTCCTGTCATACATCAGCGCCTAGAAACCATTAAGGCATGAACTCACTTTGCCCTCCAGACGATGCCACACCGGCGCCTCCACCACCGTCACAACCCTCCCAGGCAACTCGGGCGTCCCACGATGGTCATTCGAAGACTGGGCAAAGCGCCGAACGACGCCCTTGACGTATCCTGATTCTGGACTCTCTGTAAGCTCATATAGTTGCATTTGAGGGGGGCATACTCTGCTCAACAGTGTGTGGGCTGGAAAGAGGGGTCAGCACACATGAGATCGAAGATTTCGGGAAAGAAAGGAGACACGAAGCCGTCGGGCATTGGCCGGTGTGGGACGGGGAAGGGAAAGACTCACGGTGGTTTGAAGATCAAGCTTCCATATCCAAATACCCAGTACGGCATGCTTCCAATCTATTCAGCTTGTTTGAGAGGTCTCTGAGCGTATGTAGTCAAGTAATATGAGCCTTGACCCCTCTTGCGTTGTGATGGATGGCGCAATAGGCAGTAGGCGCAGGACAACGTCGCCTTTGTTTGCGTTACTGGACTTTTTGCTTCCGTTTCTTCGATTGGTTTTGCGGAAGGCCGGTTCCTGTTCTGATTTCCTGAAAAAGAGGAGAGGCTTGTGGGGAGGCGTGGGGGTCCGTGTGGTGCACCACGTTCTCAACGTCGAGCTCGACATCTAGTAGGGGTTGTAGGGGCCAGTAGATGAGAGGTGGCTGGGGGCGATGGTATCCTAGCTTGGCCTGAAAGAAGGAGGAAATAGGGCTGTCACGTAGACAAACACGTTGGACGCGACGCGGAGATGGGAGATCTACCTGGAGAAGCATGCGGCGCATCAAGGGGTAGAAGCTTGTCCCATTACCGGCGGCGTGAGGGCCCCTGATGCCCCGCAATCACCTATCCAGCGTTCATCTCGGGTCCCCTTCTCCGCACATGGCAGGAAAGAGGGCGCTTGGCTGTTCGGCGACATCCCCGAGTAATCCCCACGGCATAAATATTGGGCCAATTCGCGTCTCCATCTCTCTTTCGCATCTCAACAATCTCCTCTCGCTCACCAGCACCCACTCAGCTCAACCTTACCACTACCTACCACCTGCCATCGCCCACGGGCATCAGCTTATGTTCTCGAACAGCCTTTGCAGCGCTCACAACTCTCATCGGTACGTCCTCTCTCCTCGTCCGTTATGCCAAGCTCACTCTTTCATAGCGGCACCAAACACACCGCCGCTCCCTCGTTGAAAAGAACTTAATTCAACCCACCACACCCGTACAATCAACCAACATGTCTCCTACTGCTCTCGACGCTCCCACCCACCACGACTCTTTCACTCTCCCTGCCCAGCAGGACTCCAAGGTTCACCCCTCTGCCCGACGAACTCCTGAAGGCGGCTTAATCAAGGTCGACAGCGACAGCACTATTTATGAGAACGATGGCATCAAGGCCAAGTTCACTGACAGGGGTGCTGAAGTCGTCAGTAAGTGTGCTCTCATCTATTGTGGGCTATGCTGATGATATGACAGAGGGCCCTGATGGCAAGTTGACCGTCAAGAAGACTGCAAAGGAGTTCGAGTTCTTTACCAAATCCAAGGTCGGCCGTGTCGGGTACGTCTCCTCCACTTCCATCGATCCAAGCTGACACTTGCTAGGCTCATGCTCGTCGGTCTCGGCGGCAACAACGGTACCACCGTGCTCGCCACCAACCTCGCCAACAAGAACAACATCTCTTGGCAGACCAAGAATGGCACTCAACACCCCAACTACATCGGTTCTCTCGTCCGTGCCTCTACTGTCAACCTCGGTAACGACCCCGAGACTGGCAAGGACGTCTTTGTGCCCATCTCGGACATGCTGCCTATGGTCCACCCCAACGACTTTGTCATCGGGGGTTGGGATATTTCGGCCTTGTCTATGGATCAGGCAATGTTGAGGGCCAAGGTACTGGAGTGGGACTTGCAGAGGCAGTTGATCCCTCTTATGAAGGATGTCAAGCCCTTGCCAAGTATCTACTGTATGTATCTCTCCCCTCAGTTGTTCTGGCTGACGCGAAGCAGACCCCGATTTTATCGCTGCCAACCAAGCCGACCGTGCCGACAACCTCATCCCCGGTGACGACAAGCAAGCCCACCTCGAGCACATTCGCTCCGACATTCGCAAGTTTAAAGCCGACAACGACCTCGACTCTGTCGTCGTCCTTTGGACTGCCAACACTGAGCGATATGCCGACATCATCCCCGGCGTCAACGACACTGCTGAAAACTTGCTCAAGGCTGTCAAGGGCTCGCACGAGGAAGTCTCCCCTTCGACCATCTTTGCTCTGGCTTCCATTCTCGAGGGTGTGCCGTTCATCAATGGGTCGCCTCAGAACACGTTCGTCCCCGGCTGTATGGAGCTCGCCGAGCAGCACAAGGCTTTCATCGGTGGAGACGACTTCAAGTCGGGCCAGACCAAGGTCAAGTCTGTCCTCGCCGAGTTCTTGGTCAATGCTGGTATCAAGCCGCTTTCTATCTCGTCCTACAACCACTTGGGTAACAATGATGGCAAGAACCTCAGCTCTCAGAGGCAGTTTAGGAGCAAGGAGATCTCCAAGTCTTCTGTTGTTCGTGATTTCTCTTCCTCGTTGGACCTGGCTGATAAGTAATAGGTGGATGATATGGTCGCTGCCAACCCGGTACTCTACAAGACTGCTGCCGACCTTTCCGCCGAGACTGGCGAGGCTGTCAAGAAGGGCGAGCACCCCGACCACATTGTCGTCATCAAGCACGTTCCCGCTGTCGGCGATTCCAGTACGTCCCGTCTCTCTTCATCGAATAACGCTGACATGTCGCAGAGCGAGCTATCGACGAGTACTACTCTGAGCTCCTCATGGGCGGTCGAAACATCATGAACATCTTCAACGAGTGCGAAGACTCTCTCCTCGCCACTCCCCTCATTTTCGACCTCGCCATCCTCGCCAATCTCCTCACCCGAGTCTCTTACCGCCAAGTCTCTGCTATCGAGCCCGAAGCCGAGTTCCAGCCTCTGTACAGCGTCCTCTCGCTCTTGTCGTACATGCTCAAAGCGCCGCTTGTGAAGCCTGGGGAGGACGTTGTCAACTCGCTCAACAGGCAGCGTAACGCCCTCGAACAGTTCTTGAAGGCTTGTCTTGGTCTCGAGCACTCCAACGACTTGTTGTTGAAGACCCGAGTCTGGTAGATGGTGAACAAGTTGGTGGGAGGGCTGGCAAATGCTGGAGTACTGCTCTAGAGGATGTGGTTTATTTCGCTTGTTTTATCTTGGATAGTGGCCTTTATACTCGTACCATTTGGATTGGAATGAAAACATACGCACTCTTGGTGGTCGTGAACACTGTTGTATTGATATCATACCCATTATACGAGGGGAGATAATGGCTCATCCTACCTTCTTATCTACAGCAGGGTCGTATCATGTGTGATCAGTACATCCTGCTGGAGGGAAGAAGGCGTGAAAATAGAACTAGCGTTCATCGCGCGGCGTTCCCGCGCGTAATACTTATCGGATTATCAGTCCATTAATCAGAAAAAATATTAATTGCTGGGATTCGGAGTCATGTCTGTATCCATGAAAGATGGTATAAGTCCAATCCGCACAGAGGAGGGAAAAAATTAGGTCGGTATGCATTGAAAATGGTCACCTGCTTTCCCCAACGCTTGGATGGTCCAGAGATGCTTTCCATTCGCCTAATATGCAATCTGCTACTAACATTACACCTACGCTACCCTCCCACCTCTCAATGCGTCGAGTTCCACTCACATCCTCATTACTCCCCCTAAGACGCCGGCGTGATTGGATCTGACCTCTCGTCCGCGCTCTTCCAGAGGCTCTTCTGAGACTTATGTCGCTGGGCGCGGAGCTATTAGGGATCACGCGCCTGATGAGTAAATGGGTGTCAGCCATGAAACAGTTTATAGATATTCGAGAGTCATGGAATGCAGATACGAGCTATAGAAATTGCAGATGACCTCGCGCTGTGTGTCAGTCATCTTCTGGTATTATTCCATCATGAGGAGATAACGCGTTAGTCCCAGTCAAGTCAACCGCCAGCCACCGGCGGCAGCTCATGAGCGAGCTCAGCTTCGTTGCTGGAGAAGCGCATGTCCTCTTCACCGAGGGCTGCGCCAATGAGACCGGACGAAGTGACCACTTAATGCTTGGTGAACGCGACATCCAGATTGGATAGATCGAAAAGCTAGTTGAGCGTCTTGGGAAACACAAAGGGTTGGAAGCGGCAGCACCCAAGTTGTCTGGCTTGTCGCTGGAGGCAGCCACCTGCTCGTTCTCCATGTCTCTGAACCAAGACCTGAGGAGCATCAACATCCCCTCATCACCATAGCCCAACAGCAGGGTGCTCTTGTAGGCTAGGTCGATGGCCTCCAAGCCCCCCAAATCGTCCACTGTGTTGCTCTTCCTCAACACCATAGCAGCGGCGGACTGGGACTGAGCAGACAGTGGAGGGAGGAGGCGTCGATAGAGATGCACAGAGCGAGAGGAGCGGGTTTTCTAGGCGCGAGATTAAGCACTTGATCAAGCGGCCCTCGACAACGAACTCCCTGCTGACGGGCTCGGACTCCACCGTACCATGGACGCTGGTCACGAGGGGACGAAGGGTCGGAATCATACCGTAGTACACGTCGCCTAGTCAGAGTGTCAGCTTCAGAACATCATAGGAGAGAAAAGAGGTGACACACTGCCTGGTTGTGCCCAAGACGTGAACCTCTCCAATTCCACCGGGTAGACATGGATGGGAGATTCCTGTTTGCCGTCATGAACAATTGAGGTCCGAGTGGCCGCCTCGTCAACCGAATAGGGGGGGTTAGTCTCATTCTGATCGACGTGCAGAGAGATCGCCACTGGGAAAAGGTTGGCCGCAGACTCAAGATCATACGATGCTTCGAACACCATAGACCGTGGCCTGTTCTCGTTAGGCACCGTCATCACCATCGGAGTCGTCAAAATCAGAATCGGACGACTGAGGCCCGTTGATACTGGCAAAGGGGATAGGCACAGGTCTGGCGACAGGACGGTGAGAGGGCCAGGGAAGAAGAGGTCGAACAGGTGGTGGAGGGCTTTCAGGCTCGCAGAAGTCGCAAGGGCGAGTGGCGCGAGTGGATTGACGAACGACAGTGGCTTCATCAACATGCGGTCGAGGGGCAGCCACCGGGGCAGCACGGCGAGAGGGAGGCTGGGTGCGCCACCTAGTGCTGGGGGGCGGAGGCCCTTCAGGCTCGTAGACGTCACGAGGGCGGGTGGCGCGAGTGGATTAGCGCATGGTTCTGTTGAGACTGAGAGCGAACAAGGAGTGTATTAAAGAGAATGATAGTTCACATAAATAGGAGGAAAAGAGAAGCGTGCTACGTACTGGTCGACATTTTTTCTTTTCGACCGCACAGTTTCCGAGAGTGGAGGCGGGTGGAGGCGGAGGACGCCGACGACGCGTCTCAGAAGGAGGATCAGGCGCCAGCAAGGGGCGTGTGGTTCGTAAACGGTCTGTGGGGAAACGAACGGGGATGATGTATGGAGATTTATGGATACAGTCAGGTGGGGATCACTGCAAGCTTTCGAACGCAGCCAAGAACGAGCAGAAGTGATCGACGAAAAGTCAAGAACGATGGAATTAAAGGGTTTCGGGGACGCGTGAGGAGCGTTGGAGGAGCGAAAACGGCGGTTCGAGGTAAACGGACGGTAGAGAGAGCTAGGATGTGTCGAATGTGAAAGTGAAAGTACAGTTAGGTGGGGATGAGCGGCATCTCTCGAATGGTGGCGTCAGCGGGTCGGATGTATCGACTAAATGTCGAACAAAAGGGTGAGCAGTAAAGTGAGAAAGGTGAAATCCAAGGTAAACGGTCTGCGGGAAAACGAACGGGGAGGATGCATGCAGAATTAAGGGTACCGTTATGTAGGGAAGCTTGCAGATACTCTAACGCAATTTTGAATGAGGATGATTGATTGAGGGATAATCGAGAACGATGGGTTTGAAAATAAAGGAGGTCGAAAAATCAGATCGTAGCTTATACTAAATAGATGAGCGAAGCCAAAGATTCCCGCGGCAAGAGCTCTACTACGTACGCCGTTCGCCGCGATGCCATTACTCTGTAGTCAGCAGGCTGCAGGGGATGTAGGGGGGACGACTGCATGTTGTCGGCTCTATGGCGATAGCTGTGTGTTTGGCTCATGTCGCCATATGCGCTCACCTGTTGATCTGCTCATGAGGGGGCATTCAAGGAGATTACAAGGTGACGTGAGCAGGTGCACGTACTACGTGTTTGTATGTATTTGGCTCTACTCGTACAATAGCTGCTCTGGACCTGCGGAAGAGATTCGAAGGAGTGCAAGAGTCACAAATGACTATGTCGATAGGTTGAGTGACACTGTCCGTTCTCTCTGAGAGCGAACGCATGGTAACAGTTGACATCGACGGCCATAGCCTCCTCAAAGTACCGCGTCCCGTCTGATCCGCGAAGTCAACTAGGAGAGCGCTCGGTTAGTACCAGGGTGGGGGACCACCTGGGAATCCCGGGTGCCGTCGTTTTTGCTCTTCTTTTTGCCCCACCCTATGTAAAACCTTGCTGTCTTTGCCAGCAAGAATCACAACGTCAAGGCATGATTGCACTGCACTGACATTGGCTTCAATAGTCAAAAAGGTGATGAGCTGCATTTCTAACCTTCTATCGAACGTCTGCAGTCTTTCGGACACTATTACAATATTTCTATAGCAGCCTATGTAATAACAGTCTGAAAGCAAGCAAGAAGGTGGAGAACCCAAAATTAAACCAAGCGAGTACAGATAACATTCTTTGAAACGTACAAACCACGAAAAAACTACAAGACACAACAAATCTAATGCTGGAACCTAAAGTCCAACCTCTTGTTCCCCTTCTGGCTCGTCGTCGCGAGATACTCTGCCTTCTCCGCGATTGTCCACGTATCCCAGATCTTCGCCCTCTGCTTGTTCCTAAACACATACCAAAGCTTTGCGAATACAAACAAGGCAATGGACAGCACCGTCAGGCCGATAAGGACCTTGTTACCCTTGTGGTAGTAGGGCGCGTCGGATGGATGGTAGATGTTGGATGCGACCAGGGAGGCGGCTTGGACAAACATATTGTAGATTGAACTTGAGACGGTTCGAGTTCGGACGGAGCCGGCGTTCTGGAGACAAGTTTAGCTAATGTCAGATGACCTCATGGGAGGAGACGTACCATGCTGTTCATGGAGACCATGATGGGGTGACAGTAGGGATAAGACATTGTCAGACTGATGACCGCCCATCTCGCCCATCGATTGGCGGAGTCCGGCAAAGTCACGAGCGCAATCAAGAAGATGAGGTGCCAAATAGGCTGGATGGAGGATGTCAAGAGACGTTCCTTGAGCCTCTTGGAGGTGAAGGCGAGGGAGAGGTTCATGATGATAAACAGAATGTTGGAGGGGATGGTGAGCATGTTGGTTTGGAAGGTAGTGAATTTGCTACGAGGGGGTAAGTTGAGAGCTAGAGGTGAGGTAGAGGTGCGTACAGAGATCTCAAGGTAAGAGTGAAGTAAGCGTTGACAGTGGAAGGAATGATGAAAGCCACGAGACCGATCTATCATCGCATATCAGCCGACTTGTAGTATCATCCTAAGCAAGCGACTCACGAGGTAGATAGGCCACATGTCATAGTCTGAAAGAGAGTACCAAAGCTGATTGATAGACAGACCTTCTCGGTTGTGCATGTCCGACTTGGTAGGGTCGTCTCGGAGCACCTTGTTGACGATAATGATCTCTTCCCTCTCGGTGAACCAGCCCTTGGGCCTCCACCACTTCTTCGTCTGCGTCGGGCTCGCTGGCAAGTACCAGAAAGCCCAGAAACCAATGAGGAAGGTGAGCACACCTTCAATCATAAAAAGCCATCTCCACCCGGCAAGGCCGTGAATACCGCGCATCTCTAGCAAGCCGGCAGCGAGAAAGGAACCGATGATGCTGGTTGTTGTGAGGGAGACCCAGAACCAGGAGAGACGGATGGTGAGCTCGGCGGCAGTGTACCAGTAGGAGAGGAAGAGGACGGTGTCGGCGATAAAGCCGCTATTAACCTTGTCAGATGGGAAGAGGACAGGGGAGGGGAGAATTACCCTTCGAGGAGACCGAGGAGAGCACGGGTAGCGTAGAAGGATTGCTTGCCTTGAAGACCCATCTGGGCGATGGCAACGGCGGACCAAGTCATCATCTGGATAGGGATCCAGACATCACTTCCGAGCTTCTTAGAGACTATCCATTTGTCAGCGTAGTTACTCGGTAGATGAAGGAGACTCACGCATTTGAGAAGGGAGCTCGGCAAAGAGGAAGCAACAGTAGAAGATGGTCATGCCGGTGTTGTAGTCGGCAGTGCTCATTTTGAGATCCGTAAGCATCCCATCGGAGAGGGCGTTGGAGATATTTCCTCTGTCCAGCTGGAGAGCCATGAAGCACAAGCAGGCGAACCCAGCCACTCGGATATCTACGGCAAATCAGCTGAGGCACATATCATCAGATGTAAAATTACCTACCGAGTCTTCTTCTGACCTTTTGCTGCTCCTCGGGAGTCCACTGTGCACGAGGATCCCATCGGTGCTTGGACTCGTATGTGTCTGCGCAACGGATCAGTGTAGATCAAGAATGGAAAGAGGGAAACTCACCTGGGGGTTCGTAAAGCTTGAGCTCGACAGAATCAACAGACTGGTTGTAGTTGAGGTTGTCGAGCCCTCCGTCCTTGTCTGAACCAGAGAGCTCGCCCTTATCATCGACGTCATCGTGAATGATGCCAGGCTGATCCGTGGGACCGGGGCCAGTCACGGCGTGGGTATCGACTATAGCCGGGGGAAGAAGAGCCATGGCGATGGGAGTGTACTTGTGAGTACGAGATGGGAAGGCAGGGATTCGTGGAAGGGATGGGGAAAGAGCGGTCCATAATGAGCTTTTGTACGAATTCTGAAAAGACATTTGTGGTGTTGAAAATTTCAAGCACGCGATATGCCTACATCAGATAGAGCTGGGAAATGGGAAACGCGGCGGTGAGCCGAGAGGAAGAAGACTCCGGGCCGGACAAGCTTCGCAGCTCGCATGCTCTGCACCTGAAGGGCGGCTGTCGGCGGGAAGGGGTGATTTCCTCCTGCTATTTGATGGCGATAAGGGTCCGCAAGACATGGGAAGGACAAATACAGGACCGAGATAGCAGTCAGCCGCGATCACATCATCACAGGGCGGATGTGCCCGCTTCGACTTGGCGTCCAACTAACGAGTTAGCTCATTAACTCGCCATCCCTCATGCAAGACAGCCAACTCGTCAAAATTTTACATGAAGGTTTTCCACATGCCCACAGCCTCATTGCGCAGATGTTGATGGCATTTTGTCCGTCATAAAAGAGTTGCTATGGTGGGGTGCTGGTTGCGTGTCTGGAGCAAAGCATGTAGACATGATTACTGAGTGAACCTGATCTTGTACTTTCTCATATGATCACCAGATTACACAAGAGCCAGAGTGATCACCCTATCGATAGCATTCTCATGGATGCATTCAGTCTACGTCATGTAGGCCAAGTCTATAAAATCTAAAAAGCCCATCAAAGATCCACACATCAGGCTCCCAAAGACACAAAGAACATTTGGGATATCACCACTTCCGTCTACAGATGCAGACATCTACACTTCCTCATCAAAATCTTCATCAGGGATAGGCGCGATTGGTACAGGCGTTTTGGGATCATGGATCACATCATCCGGGATCTATCATTCCATCCGCATCAGCGACCTGCCCTTCTATTGACAAGGAAAAATAAGAAGGAGAACTTACAAACAACGAAGTCACAAAGACCAACACCGCGCCCCCCAGCCCAAAGAGGAACGTATTCCTCAACGAAATCCCATACGCCTCCCTCGCCTGGACCCTCTGCCACTTTTCCGGCAGCTCTGCGATCGAATGCGAGGCATGTCGCAGTTTGTCGATGATGGCTGGGTTGGAGAAACGTTGAGAGAGCTGGTTCGAGAGAGATCCTTGGAATACGGCGCTGGAGAGGCCGACGCCGAGGACTTGGCCTAGGGAGCGCCAGACGAATACGAAGCCTGTTGAAGTTGCTATTTCGTGGCCTGTACGAGTAGAGTAGTACTGATTAGTGGGCGCTCGAGATGAAGAGGTTGGACGTACGTTCGACAGAGTTCAGCATTGCGGCTTTCATTCCAGAGTCAGCATTTCGTTCCATCGATTCCTTTGTATGAAGAAGAATGAAGAAGAATCACTCACCTCAGCGTCAAAAGCCCACTGAATCCTGCTCCCATGGGCAACACACTCAGCCACTGACTCGCCCAGCTACTCTCCGGCGTCAATCTCGTCAAGAGGGTCATAGCCACCACAGGTCCCGCACAGTTGAGTACAGTGAGCCATTTGTATCGACCGGAGGTCTTGACAATGTACCCCATGATAGGGGCTGAGATTGTCATGGCGAGAGAGTTGGGGAGGAGGTGCGCGCCGGCGAGGGAGACTGGTTGTTTGAAAACAATTTCGAATACCATCCTGCGCTCTTCATATCAGTACTTTGTCCAAAAAGGAGGATGGGAGGAAGGGGACGTACGGGAGGTGGTACATCTGATTATAGTTGACCACGGCGATCGCACTGGCGATGATCCCCACACAAAGCGGCGTCCTCCTCGATAGCAGAGACAGAGGCAAGACGGGTTTAGAAGCAAGCTTAAGCTCGACAAAGATGAAGATGAGGAAGAAGAGAGGGCAGATGACAGCCATGGCGATACCGAATGGGTCATCGGCGAGGGAAGAGCTTCCGCCTGTCCTTGACAAGAGCTGGAGGAGTGCACCGATCTGTGAAATTATGAGTCGAACGTCAAGGAGGGGGTGAGGGCAGCTTACAGAGATGAGGAGGGAGAGGGATCCTCCAAAATCGATTTGCTTTAGATGACGCCAGTCGAACGGTTCGTGGTTGAAGTTGGGTACAGTAAGGAAGGCGAGAAAGATACTGAGGATAGCGATGGGCACTTGAGCGTAGAAAGCTGCCCTCCATCCGAAAGCCTGAGTCAGGATCCCACCGATAGGTCCGCCCAAGCCTGTTCCTGCACCGAATACGGCAAAACTGATGCCTTGATAGAACCCTCTCTCCGCAGGCGTAAAGATGTCTGCCATGAGCACACTCGAGACTGTTCCCATACCGCCTCCACCCATTCCAGCGACGAAGCGTGCCAGGACAAGCCACCCAAAAGAGGGCGCACAGCCGCAGAAGAAGGTGCCGACGGTGAAGAGGACGAGGGCTTGGAGGTAAGCGCCGCGGCGACCGAGGAGGTCACTAAGACGACCGTACAAGGGGGTGAATGTGACGTTACTCCAAAGGTAAGCGGTACCTAGTACGTGTAAATATCATCTCGGGAGATGTACGGCTTGCTTACCGATCCAGGCTTCCTGGTCTGACGATTTGAGCTCTGAGGAGATGGTTGCGATACAAGTTGCCACGACTGAGCAAACGAGTCAGCCCAGTGTCATGATCAAAAGATAGACATACTGGTGAGGTCTAGAGTCGAGAGAAAACCAGTGAGCATGGCGGTAATGACGATGAGCCTCTTGCGAGTCGGGCTGAGGGCCAGGGGGTCGACGATGGGCTGCTTGAGCAGCGGCGTCCTCTCATCTGTCCTGGTCATAGCGATGCGTCTGTTGGAGAGTGGGAGTCGGAAGTCGACGTGAAAGAATTGTCCGCTCTGCAACTTTTCATTCTCACGAGTATCCTGAGGGAAAATGATATGAGCGTAGGCACCGGTCCTCCGAGAGACAGCAGGAGTAATTTCCCGGGTGTCTCTGGCGGCCCTGAGTCTTTGCATCCGACTTCGGCGTGCAGAGTGCAATCCGAATGGCTGAGGGATAGCGTGCGAGGACAGCACGCGATAAGAGTGCGCGATGATGTGCTCGCCGCGTCAGATGGCCCGGCGGCCGGCGGATAGCCCTGCCCTGGACGAGCGTCTCGTACAAAAGCATGGGGCCAGGATCGCTCGCCCGGCCAGCCAGCATGTTCCTGGATATCAAGGCTCTCGTCCTCCCTGGCCTTGCAGCCCTCGTAGCCACCCACGCGGCTGCCATCCAGAGCAAGAAGCCAAACATCATCGTCATCCGTCAGTCTTACATAATCTCCCTCACGCACCTGTCTTCTTTCTGACCATCAACAGTCACCGACGATCAAGACACCAGTACTCTCAACAAGCGCGAATACCTGCCAAAGATCAACCAACATCTCGTCGACCAAGGCGTCCTTTACGACAACTTTTTTGCCCCCGTCAGCGTCTGCTGTCCCAGCCGAGTCTCTCTTCTGCGAGCTCAGTACGCTCACAACCACAATGTCACGTTCGTCTCCAAACCTTGGGGTGGATGGGAGATCTTTAACAACCTTGGGTATCATGGACATACTGTTCCCGACTTTGTGCAAGCTGCTGGTTACAACACTTACTATACCGGCAAGTTCATGTGAGTGGCATAACGGCCGGCTCAAGCGTGCACCGATTGCTGACGATGTTTAGGAATGACCACACAGATAAGAATTGTGAATCATTACCTGTTTCGGGTTTCAACTCTTCAGACATCTTGGTTGGCAAGTGATTCATCCATCCAAGTCAGGAGACGACACTTACCTCTCCGCAGACCCCTACACCTACGACTACTGGACACCTGCCTTCTCTCGCGACAGTAAGCCCCATCCTCCCACTTCTAGTCATATACTGACCTACTACAGACGGTCCAGCCAAGGTTCACTAAGAAGAGTACTCGACTTCTCTCGTTCACGAGAAAGCCCTCGCCTACATCGACGATGGCCTCAAGGACGACCGTCCCTTCTTCCTCACCATCGCCCCCGTTGCCTGCCACTCTTGCAAGTTTTCCTTTCTCCTTGGTGGAACCAAGCTGATGAGATATACAGGGCTTTCGCATACCCACAAGCTCGACAACATCTCCGACGGCCGCATCGTCGCCGATATCCCCCCCGGCCACCCCAGACACGCTGCCAAGTTCCCCGTCGAGACTATCGAACGCCGGGAGAACTGGAACCCGGATTTCCCCACCGGCGTCTCGTGGGTCAAGCACCTCGACAAGCTTAATACAACACATGAGAATTACTTGGATGACTTTTTCAGGGGCAGGTTGAGAGCTTTGCAGTCGGTGGATGAGATTGTGGATGATGTGGTGCACAAGCTCGAGGCTGCCGGGGAGCTGGACAACACTTATATATTTTACACCGGTACGTCCCCTTCCTTCCCTTCCCCCCTGCAATAAAGGAGCAATGGCTGATACGACACAGCTGACAATGGCTATGCCCTCGGATCCCATCGCCGCCAACCAGGCAAAACTCTTGGCTTTGAAGAAGACATCCACGTCCCCCTCATCGCCCGCGGTCCCAACATCCCCTCTGGTTACCGCGACACTCTTTCTTCTTACGGTACCGTCGACCTCGCCCGCACCATCCTCGACATTGCCGGTGCAAAGACCGACTATGAAGATGACGGCCGAAAGATCAACTTGCACCAAAAGGGAGAGGAGAGGGTGGAACAGAGGGTTGCTAGGCATGCTATCAGCGAGTATTGGGTGTTGGCGGTGGATGAGGGAGTGTTTGGGTCGCATGTCCGGGATAACAACAGTACGTCGTCTTCTCCTTTCCTTCTGTCCGCTGGATGAAACTGACGAGAAGAGCAGCGTACCGAACACTCCGAGTCCATGACGATACAAACGACAACCCCTTCTCCTACTCTTACTCTGTCTGGTGTACCGGCGAACGCGAGCTGTACGACCTGGTGGAAGATCCTTCTCAAGTCCGCAACCTCCTCGCGCCTCTGAACGATATCGCTCCTTTCGCACCATTCGATTCTCTCACCCCCTCCGGTAATCCAGTCTTGCACCACACTTTACAAAAGCTGTTGAACCGCCTCGACGCCCTCCTCCTCGTGCTCAAACGCTGCTCCGGCGAGACGTGCCACAACCCTTACGTATCCCTCTTCCCCCCTGCTTCGCACTACCAAACAGGCGGAGAAGTATGGAGCTTTGAGCAAGCGCTGGAAGAGAAATATGACGAGTACTTTGAGGGGCTGTTGAAAGTGAGGTTTAGCAAGTGTGCGTTGGGATTCCAGGAGGAGGTGGAGAAGCCGGATTGGAGGAAGGAGTGGGCTTTTGGCGCTACGGCTGGGGCTGTTGGGGGGACTGGGTTGAGGAATGAGGTCTTCGGAGATGGGCTTGTCTTTCAGGGACTTTGAGGTGATTGTTGTAAGAGGAAATAAGGATTGAAGAAGAAAATCGCCCCATGCGTGGGCCATCTCATCAAAAGGACAGTTTGTAACAGTCAGAAAAACGTTTGTGACCAAAAGAAATGCAAAGAATCTTGACCTGTTGACTCAAAGATTCCTCTCTGGACATCCAAAGAAGGACGTTGAGGAATATGACGTCTAGTACATACTCTGACTCTGAGACTGAATGCGTTTGTAGTAGCCCCTCGATACGCACAAGCTGCTCTCTTGACAACCAAGACAATTATGATCCGTTCGCCCTCGGCAAGTCCTGCATCTGTTTCTGTCACTAACATATACTACTCAAGAATATGTTGTCTTCAATAAATCAGAAGGCAATAGCAGAAAAAGTACAAAGCGTAAGAGAGTGCATAGCGATTCCTGATTATGACAACGTATCGTCTTTTGATTGTACAACTTCTTTCTTCTTCACTCTTCCTCTTCTATCTCTAAGCCTACCACACGCTTACTGCCTAGCAGCAGCCTCCCTCTCAGCCAAATCCCTCCTCCTGCTCTTCGAGTTGGGGTCAAAGTACGGCCGCTCGCCCAAAGAAACAGCTCGGGTACCAGTACGCTTGTTCTCGTCGACGTCAAAGGTAGCAGAGTGGAGAGTGGATCTGTTGTCCCAGATAGCGAGCGAGTTTTCTTCCCATCGGAAGCGAACGATCAAATCGTGGTTCTATATATCCCATTAGCCATTTGAAAGAAAGAAGGGAAAGAGGAGAAGAGACTCACGGCGTGGATGTGTTCAAAGAGGAATTCCAGCAACTTGTCCGACTCCCTCTGAGTAAGTTCGTTGATCCTCTTGGTGAACCCCTTGTTGACAAACAGACCCTTCCATCCCGACACAGGGTTGGTCCTAATAACAGGGTGCACCGCGCTCAAATGCTGGCCCACATTCTCCGGCGCGCCTCTCGGTTCCCGGAGGGGCGTACCGGCCTTCTTGGCGAGGTCGATGAACTGCTGCCCGACGTGGGTGGCGGTGAGGCCTTCGAGGAAGGTTTGGTAGGCGGGGGAGAGACGGTCGTAGGCTTCGTAGGCCGAGGCCCAGAGAGTGTCGCCGCCGACGGGAGGGAGCTCGCGGATTTGGAGGGTGGCGTAGTCGGAGGGGATGGGTTCGAATGTGATATCGGTGTGCTATCTCTCAGTCAGCTTCTGATCAACACCAAAGCCAGAAGAAAGACTCACCCAGAGGTCGGGACCGAAAGGCCTCTTGAGGATAGTATCGTCATCCCTCTTGAACTCCTTGTCAAAGTGGAATTGGTTGGAGATGACAGACACCTCGTCACCGAGCTTGGAGCCGGCGAGGGTACAGGGGTGGATGTGCAAGCCGGAAGTGGCAGGTTTGCCACCGAGACGGCCGAGAGACTTGATGAGTTCCTTCTGCTCCTCGGGGGAGATGATGGCGTTTCGGAAGAAGACTACGCCTCGCTCAGAACTGTTCCTCAGTCAGCTTGGTTCAAGTAAGAGGAAGAAGGAGAGGAGGAAGAAGGAGAGAGCTTACATGAGACGGCCAAGAGCCTTGATTCGTTCGTCGCTGTCGAGGATCTCTCGGATCGACAAGATGGGCTCGCCATCCTTGCTCCACTCACGGAACTCAGTACCGATCGAAGGGGTGGAGTCAAAGTGGGCGAAAGAGCGGAGGTCAAAGACGTTCTCCTTCTTGGGCGAAGGTGGGGCCTCGCTGACAGTGACAGAAGACAAGGAAGCCTTGAGCGAGTCGATGGGGTTGGTGGTGTAAGCCTGGGGCTGCTGAGCAAGAGCGACGGGCATGTTGAGTGATGGTCTTTGTTTGTTTCGTAAAGATCTGGAATGAGGAGGCAGGATTTGGAAGAATGGGAAGTTTGGAATTGAGCGGGAGGGGGCTGGCTATATAGTACGCAGGTGCATGGAGCATAGCCAGAGGATTTCCCATGATCTATATTATCTGATATGATATGGTGAGCGATTAGAAAGCGCGGTGTAATGTGTGATTTCCACTATCACGTTAGATAGCGCGAGGCGGGCTGCGTCATAGGTGACGTTAGGCTGAGAGACATGTGGCGGAGGGGCTGGATGGTGATTGTTGGGCGATGGCTGGGGTGGCGATGGCTGTGGATGACATTGGAGGGATGCTGTGTATGGGGATATAGTACTGCACTCGAGTATGGTGCATGGCTGCTGAGTATGCCCTCGCGTAATAGATGGCAAGACACTGGCAGGCGAGACACGTAAAGGCGAGCAAGAGGCGGGTGATGGGATTAAACTATCTGGAATAGAGGGCATTTCGAATTCCTTTCTTATGTATACGTATAACCTCCCGGGGTGTGCAACAGGCTGCAGCGATGGTGTGATTGTTGCAAGATTGTCGCAAGAGTGGCACACCCCGCCCGATCACCTCATCACGCGCAAGCCGTGCCTCGCGCCAATCTGCAGCCACAAAGCTTCTCTGTTATCATATCTCTGCGGGGGGTAGTCACCTTCTGTCATAATATCCCGGCTAGCGACCTCCTTCTCGGTTCATCTCCTCGTGAATATGTACATCTATCCATCGCGTGCTCGTAAATTTCTGTAGACCGCTTCACGAGATATCCATACAAAAGCTCCATGCATCACTTCCGAATTGCTCCAACGAATCCCTGCCATTCCAAAACGCATCTCGTCATGTCCGGCATCCCTCCCATCGTGGACACCGTCAACGTCACAAATCCTCCCGTTCCCCAAGCCCACTCTCCCTCAGAGTCTATCGACGACAAGACAGACCTCTCTGGCTCCGAGAAGGATGGCGTTGATCCCCTCAACCGTACTTATAACGAGTCAGTAGACTCGGTCGAACTTAAGTTCTATGAGCCCCCAGGTAAGTCCTTTTCCTGACCCTTGTAATGACATCTGACTGGATCAGACACGTACGAATCCAAGCACCGATGGGATCCTCGTGCTCAGTGGACGATAGAAGAGCAGGAGAAGCTCAGGCGGAGACTAGGTGAGTTTTCCTTGGCTGTCAGGGCTGTTGCTGATGTACTGTAGACATCCGGGTGGCCGCGTTCGCCTGTCTCTGTTTTGCTGCCCTCCAGCTCGACCGAGGAAACATCTCTAACGCCCTCTCGGACGGTATGCTCACCGACCTCAACATGACCACCGGTGATTACAACACCGGCATGACCATTTTCTACTGTTGCTTCCTCTTTGCCGAACTTCCTTCCCAAATGAGTGCGTTGCACCTATCTTCTTCCGGTGCATGAGCTGATTTAGTATAGTCTCCAAGAAGCTGGGAAGTGATATCTGGATCCCTATTCAGATGATGACCTGGTCCGCCGTCGCCATCGCTCAAATGGGTCTGCACGGCAAACAATCCTTCTACGCTACCCGTGCTCTTCTCGGTCTTCTCGAGGGGTAAGTGTCTCCCCTTCTTCTGCCCTCAGTCTGACAATTATACAGCGGCTTTATCGCCGACACAGTCCTCTTCCTCTCCTACTGGTACACCGCCGCCGAACTCACCATCCGTCTCTCCTGGTTCTGGGTCTCCTACACCGCCATCACCATCATCGGCGCTTTCCTCGCTGCCGGCTTGCTTGAGATGCGTGGTATCCACGGTCTTGCCGGGTGGAGATGGCTTTTCATGATCGAAGGTGCTTTGACGTTTGTGGTGGGATTCTGGGCGTTCTGGTATCTGCCGGCGAGCCCGACGCAGACGAAGAAGTGGTGGAGGCCCAAGGGCTGGTTCACTGAGAGAGAGGAGATCATCATCGTCAACAAGGTGCTCCGAGACGATCCTACCAAGTCGGATATGCACAACCGAGAGGGTTTGTCTCTCAAGCAGCTTTGGTTCTCGCTGTCCGACTATGATATGTGGCCTATCTACCTTGTAAGTCTCTCTGCTTCTTTGAGGATGGCAAGTTGGCTGACATGAGATGGTAGATTGGTATCACCGCGTTCATCATTCCTTCCACTGTCCAAGCATACTTTACTCTCACCTTGACATCGCTGTACGTTCTTTTCCCCTCCCTCCTCATCTTCCACACTAACATCCCATTCCAGCAATTTCACAACTTTCCAAACCAACATGCTCATCATCCCCTCCAACGTCCTCTTCATCATATTCAACCTCGCCCTCGCCTTCACCTCCAGAAAGCTCAAAGAACGTCTCTTGACTTCGTCCATTCAGCCCATCTGGCACTTGGTCCTGCTTATCGCGCTGGTGACCTTGTCGGATGATGCGAGTCGATGGGTCAAGTGGGCGATTTTGACGTTGTTTATGGGGTACCCGTATTGTCATCCCATTATGGTTTCAATGAACAGTATGGTGAGTCTCCTTCTCCTCCATCAGATGAGAGCAAAGGCTGACGTGAATGACAGAACGCTGGCTCAGTCCGTACCCGGACCGTCTCCTCCTCCCTCTACAACATGTTCGTCCAAGCCGCCTCCCTAATCGCCTCCAACATCTACCAGCCCTCCGACGCTCCATACTACCACAACGGCAACAAGATCCTCATCGGTCTGTCTGTCGCGTCAATAGCACTGTTCGTATTCGCGAAGCTGTGGTATGTGTGGAGAAACAAGCAGAGGGACAAGGTTTGGGATACGTGGACGGTGGCGGAGAAGGCAGAGTACTTGGCGACGACTAGTGATAAGGGGAATAAGAGGTTGGACTTTAGATTCCAGCATTAAATAGGGTTTGCTTTTTAATAGACTTGTCCTTCTGGGGTTTCTTGTTGATTGCATTGGGAGAATGCTGTAGCCATTATTTAGATAAAGTATATTTTCTGTTCCAGACGAGAAGACAATAGATGAATAGAAATCAGCAGATCATTAATACTCTTAAAAGCCCCCACGCCCATCGCCATGGCTGATAAAAGACCCAGATGGGTATTGAGAAGCCTGATGAGGAGTGGTTGGATCTACTATACATTATGTTTTTTTTTAAAAAAAATCTCTTATACAACCGTACAAATCAGACTCACTGAACGAGATACTCTATCGCGCCTACACCTTGCTCACCTCTAGAACGCTCTTGCTCTCACTCACCGCCCCCTCTGACTCTTCATCTGTGCCCAGAGATCTCTTCTCCCATATGGTGACAAGCTTGATCCCATGTTTCTCCTCCAGATACTTTTCCACCACCCTCTCATCGACCTCCTTCCCTTCCAGATCCCAGCCAGGGTCGATAGGGGGCAAGTCGCTAAACAGCTTTTGCCCTGCTCTGAACCCTTCCATCCATAACGCCACTCCCTCGGGCCCGCCGAGCCGTTCAACGATATCTTCTTTCTCAGCAAGAATTTTGTCTATCGATCCGTATTGTTGAATCAACTTCCAACTCGTCACCGGTCCGACTTTCGGTATATTCTCCGACGCATCCGTCCCCAGCATCACCAAAAAGGTCATATACGTCTCCTCATCCAGACCCAGCTCTTCCCTCAATTGTGAGCCGTCTATCAATGTGAGCGGTTTGGAAGAAGTAGAGATGTTGCGGAGGAGGGGTGCTTGATACCCAAGCACATCACTGTCTTCTGTACCGACAAAGTCGACTAGACCAGCTTTGGCGAGGGTGGATGCGAGGCCTTCGGCTTCGTAGGGTATGGGGGCGGTGAGTACGGGGACACCCATGACCTGGAGAAGGGCTTGGCAGTCGACGTGATCTCCTTGCGTGGGCATGTCCAAAGCCCGCTCATGTGCCCCTCTCACCACTGGCAGATTATGTATCAACCCTTCCAGCCTCTTTACCGCCGACATTTCATTAGAAGGAACGAATGGGAGGGTAGCTTGCCCGGGAGAAGGGATATATGGTTCGGGAGAAGGGCCGGAGAGGATGAGGTTGAAGATGTCGCCTTCTTCTTTGGAGAGGGCTGCTTGGCGGAATGTTTCGGTATATTCTTCGACAGGGACGAGATCTTCGAGCTTTTGGTCGAAGGACTCGATACCTTTCTGCCATTCTTCGAGATTGGTCTCCTTGCCCTGCTGAGACACCTCCGTCCATAGCTGGAGCTCCTTCTCTAGAACATCCAGCTCAACCTCGATCGCACCGTCCGCGTCCGGAAGACGTTTGGGAGTAAGTTTCTGAGGACGCCAAGAGTCGCGATAGTTGTTGACAATGAAGGAGAGGACGTCAATCATTGATACGATACGTTCGCGGGATTGTGGATCTTGTTTGGACAAGGAAGCTTTAATCTTGGCCGCCATACTTGGAGGGGCGTCGTCTGGCAAAGGTAATTGTGTAGGCGTGGGGAGGGGAGTCTCAGGGTCGGGTGTCTCGTCGGCAGTAGTGACAAAGGCAAAACGCGTAGCTTCCCAATGAGCTCTGACCGCTTCTTGCTCTCCAGGTGACATGAGGTTGAATTCCCTGGTGGCGTCGGCGAGGAGATGGACTCGAGCAGCGCGCATGAATTCGTGATTCCGCCGAGCCAACTGGGTCGCTCTTGAATGCAGCCTTTTCCTTGCCTAGAGATCCATCAGCGTCTGGTGTGAGAGCAGTCGTGGTGGGAGCATACCTCTCCGGCTTTCCAATCCCTAACGCCCCTTTGATCCCAAATTGCTACAGGCTTCACCCCAAAAGATCTCATCTCGGATATCATACTGTATACGCGTCAAATATGTTTGAGAGAAAGGTGGCAAGTACCTACTTATACCAGCAGATGATATCATTCTGCTCTTCGTCCGGCGAGCCGCGAGTAGCAAAATGAAACCTATTTGTCATAAGTGTAGCATCGCTAGCTCTCCTTCAGCAATGATTCGATGTGGCCAGCAAGGAGCACTTACATGGCAATCTTCTTTCCTCGGAATTCAGGAGCGGCCCATCGAATCGGAAAGTTCTTGATGACTTGCGGCCTGGGTCCGTCAGGATGAGCTCGGGAAGTAGAAGACGACTTACTGGGACTTTTTAAGCCACGGAAGGAGTCCCTTGATACCCATATTGTACGTCTAGCACAGTGGGTAGGCTGCGGTCGTTGTGGATATAAGCTAGACGAGCTGAGAGGACGCCTGAAGTTTACTTTGCCGATCACCGTCTGAGGCAGTTGTGATATCTTCCACGTCGTCGTTTTATTCACTCTTCTCTTTCACCTGCAAAGGCAGCAACAAGCTGGGGTATAGGTGGCGATCGCCGCCAAGGATTTTTCTCCGCGCATCTTCGACTGCGAAACTGATTATGGTGCAGCGTGATAAGATTACGTGGACGGCGGAAGGTTATCTCCGGCTGCCATAAGAAATGGACTTCATGCAGATATTGGCTGTATATAGCAATCAGCCAAGGCTCCTAGTATAAAGTACGCGTATCAGTGCGGGTATCCATGGCGGCAGCTCGAGCTGACTGCTGACAATCCCTGCAGGGCTCGTGCCTCAGTCCCGCTTCATGAGACTTTGTGGTTTCGTCGCCGCGTCCTCAATCGTCTTTCCCACCCGTCCACAACAACATCGTACAAGTAATGACCCCCATTTCTCTATAGCCCTCCAGCGCTTCGTAGAACTACATCTAATTCTAAAATAACGAAAATGGGCGCGGTGATGGCTCTGCCTACAGCAGCCGGCGGTACCCACCACATCCTCCCAGCTCAAGCGTTCGAGCTCGGTCCCACGACCGTTGCTGGAGGCATACCGGGATTCATGGTACTGGACAATGTCTGGTACAGAGACAGAACCTTCTGTGAGTCGGATGTTCACAACCGAAGACTATGCTTACCGGAAGTGTCAAGTTTACCTTGAAAATGAGGACGCCAGCGAGCCCGTACCATCGCCTGATCTTCTATTGACTTACTCGGGAAGTGGATCTGGGACCAAAGACTTCGAACGGATCCAGTTGGAGCAGTCGGCAGCGACTCGGCATAGGCGCGATGAAGAGCGGAGTCTGGGAACGGACAATACGACCATATTACATGGGACCACACGTGAGTCATATCTTGTCAGAAGGAGCAGCTCTGCCCGACCTTCTCTGTGACAGTCTGCGGCATCTACTGTACCCAAGATGCTCATCTCTCTTCTCAGTATTCTTCAATGACGGCTATGACAACAAATGGTCAGGCTACAAGTGGCTCTATCACATGGTCGCCGAAGCACTCCTCGGATCCCTCGCCGTCCTCTCCTCAGTGGAACCCCTTTCCAACGACTTTGCCCTCCGCGCCGCAGCTGGCGAATGGGCGTCTTCTCCCGATAGATTAGCTGGAGGAGAGAGTGAAGGACTGCCGGATCGGTTGATTGTTGCGTGGGATCAGCTCTGGGATGCGAGGTACGGTCTGCCGAGGACTGTCGCAGAATCGGTGTTTGGTGACGGTGAGCTCTTCTCCCAGGTGTATCTGCGTGTATTGATACTGACTGCTTTTAGACAACTTGATCGAACCTGATGAATGGAGAGATATGTCGGGTGATGGTTGGGTATACTTCGAAAGAAGTGAGTCTTTTGCCGATTGCTCCAGTCTCTAGCTTAACATCACCTTGCAGTCCTCCTCCTCGACCGTTCTGTTTCCCACCGCTTCAACCCTCTTTCTCAAAAATGGCTCAAAATGGCTCTCGACGCCTACCAACTAGCTCCCTCCCCAGACTTCTTCACCCCCCTCCGCCGCGCTCTCCTTTCCTTCTACAACATCCCCTCTCTCACACGTCCTTCGCCCGGGATGAGCGTAAACTTCAAGAGGCCGAAGATTGTGTATGTTGAGAGGCAGAGAACAGAGAGGAGGTTCGAAGAGCAGGTGCATGAAGATCTGGTGAAGAGGTTGGAGAGGTTGGAGAAGATGGGAGAGGCGAAGGTAGGAATGGCGGTGTTGGAAGGGATGGAGAAAAGGGAGCAGTTCAGGTTGTTCGCTGACGCTGATGTGAGTTTGTTACATCAAGGTCAGAGTGCCGTACTGACAGGCTTCAGATCATTCTGGGGATTCACGGCAATGGCCTCACCCACGAACTTTGGATGCCCTCTGGCGGTATCATGATTGAGATCCTCCCTCCTGACGACTTTCACTACGACTACGCTCCCGTGTCTATGGCTCTGGGACATGAGCACCTGATATGGGTGCGTCTTCTATGCTTTCGATCATGTAGTCAGAGCACTGCTGACGTTCCTTGTAGCAGAATGACAGACTCTTTCCTCGGGATATGTGGTTACCACAAAACACGGGAAATGGTAGTCTTATACATGACGGCTCTTCCATCCCGGTGAGCATCTTTCGTCGTCATGATGTGTGTCCTTCTGACGAGAGTGAATAGCTCGATGTGGATTCGTTGATAACGATGGTAGAGGCCCTTGTGAAGAGCATAACTTTCTCATATCATTAATCATCGACTGTTCTGCGTCGGTCAGAATGTTGATTTGTCCGCTCGTCTACCTCTTTGATATGTGCCATGTACTATAGTGTAGTGTGGTCAGCACACAGTACGAGTACAGTATGAGCTGGCCTGCAGTGACTCGTGCATAACCAGTCTCACATCCAAACCGGCAGCTGCCAGCACTAAGTTGCTAAAGTTTATGAGACCGCTTTTTCCCGGAATCCGATTACGATGCTCTTGTCCATGGTATTGGCAGTCTTTTATGTGACCCGTAAGCGTAGCCGCTATCATGGAGTGAGTGACGTATATCACTCGTGCATGGATATATATCCGCATATCTCTACTACCGTACACGCCCCCCAACCAGCTATTGACATGGAAAAACATGACGAGAACAAACAAGATCAAAGACTCTCTTCTCTCTATATAATTAGTATGAACCTCTGGTACAATAAAAATGCTCAGAATACCCAAAGAAACAGCAACAAAAAGTAATCACATCCTCTGCTTGATCGCCCGAGTAATCTTCCTAGCGTAGATGAGCCCGAACCCGGTGGCGATAGGCAAGGCGGAGACGAGGAGCCAGAAGCCGACAAACAAAAGGATAGGAAGCCAGAACAAGTAGAGCATTCGATCGCCTGTGAAGGGTCAGCTCTGATTCGGCTTGTCTCGGTATTGACTCACTCTTGACTTGGATAACCACGTTCTCCTTTTTCTCAGACTTCCTTGTTGCGATCTTGGTTCCACCACTGCCTGTCCCACTCCCCGAAGCTCCATTCGAATACCTTCTTCTCCTGCCCCTACTACTGCTCTTCAAGGGCTCCCCGTCTTCGTTCCCACTTCCACGCTTCACCTGGCCATCCACACCATCACTGTCCAGCCCAAGGGGAGACAAAGTCTTTTGCACGTCACGTCGGCGAGAGCTCTTTGAAGGCGGGGTAGCAACGCCAGTCTGCACTACAGCATTGAGAGCGGCGGCAGCCATGGCTTGGGTAAAGAGCTTGACCTCATCAGGACTGGCCATGCGCTGAATGGTGTCCCAAGAAGGAGCAGGGAAAACAATCCAGCCCCCGTTCTGGCTCTCAGAAGACTCGGCAGGCGTCTTGTCAAAGCCCAAGAATGAAGGACGCGAAGGCAAGTGTTCCCATACACCGTTGGGAATCTGGTTGATATGAGGAAGATGAGGGAGGTGAGGGAGGTTGGAGAGGGTCTTGATCCATCCGCTTGGGTGATCATCATCAGCAGGAGGCTGGACACGGGAATGGTCGGTGGGAGGCGCGTAAGGAGGAGGCTGATCCGCCTCCACACCGTCAGTACCAATCGCAGACATGGAATCCCCGCGCTTGGCAGCTGTCGTCTTCTTGGTACTCTTTATACCCTTGCCGTCGGATGTGGACTTGCGAGACTTGGACTTTCGACGAGTGCTGGGCACAGAAAGCGTGATCTCGGCGAGATCGACCTCTGCTTCTGAGCCTGAAGAAGGGTTGTCGTCGTCGATAGAGCTTGCCAAGCTGGTGGCCACAGATTTTGGCGACTCTCCTTGCTTTGCCTGCTTCTTGCCCGTCATCACCGGGGGGGCAGCAGCGGGAGTAGGGACGGCAGGGTCTGTCACCGTCGACCAAACAGCCGAAAGCAAAAGCCTCTCCACCTTCCCATGCTCTCCCACCTTGGCCAAGTCAAGCGGCATCTCTCCATAGTTTGTCGCTCGATCGTAACAAGCACCGGCCTCAATCAACACCCTCGCACACGTACACTTGCCACACAGAGCAGCAAACGCCAGAGGCGTATATCCGTTATCATCCTGCGAGTCGATCTCGGCACCGCCAAGGATGAGGCGTCGAACGAGACGGGAGAATCCGAGAACGACAGCGATGTGGAGCAAGGTCTGATCGTATTCGTTTCTGCAGTTGATAGCTCCGCTTGCTCGCAGAGATCCAGGCGCATGAGAGTCGATGGACGCAAGGAAGGTGATGAGTGTCGACTGCAAATCCGAAGACATGCTATCAGTAGACTTGGAGTCCATTGAAGAAGTCTGCGAGTCTGTGTTTTCGTCTTCTTCTTCGGCATCTGGAGAGAAGGCGGCGGTGACATTGGTAGCCTCATTCATGGTGTTGCCACCAGGCGACGGGCCCTGGGCCGAAGCCGAGGAGGAGGGACCACTGTTGGAGGACCAATGGCCATTGTTCTGACCTGGAAGTTGATGAAGACGTTGGGTAGTGTTGGCAGAAGAACCCTGATACTGGCTCTGAATAGCAAGGACAAGCTTCATCCTATTCCAATACGTCAGTGGTCAGTCATATAAGGTGTAACAAAACTTACGCGTCCTTCTCCATGTCTTGGTAGGCAAACTTTGTCTTTCGATCCTGAGCTCCAGTTCCCGATCCAACACCCTGTATCGTCACATCCACAACCTCGGCATACGGACTCGGCGGAAGCTTGCACTTCATGAACCCCGAGCTCTGGAACACTGTCACAGCAGCTCGCTGACCAAAGAGGACAACCATCCCCGGCTGGAAATCTGTGCCTCCGACAGCAATCATCGGACCGCCCGCCATGGGGCCCTGCTCGGGAATGACATCGGTGATGGTAGGCTGTGGGGGTGTCGGCGCCTGAGGTTGAACGGCAGGAGACGGGAAGAGGCTGGGCTGGTGCTGATATTGGCTTTGGAGGTTGTCGAACGGCAAGCCAGGGAAGTTGACACCTCGCGCCGGGCTTCCGAGCCCACCACTCTGTCCCATCCCTTGCTGCTCCGTCGGGTAATCGAGATACTTTTCCATATCCTCCCCTTCCGCAGCACCCCCATTACCCATAGCTCCCATACTACCCGCGCTCATGCCAACGCCCAGCCCTTCAAAGTCGTCAACCACCGTCGACCCAGGCGGCAGCCCAGACTGACTAAACACCGACGACCGATCGTCCCAGCCCGACCAAGCAGACGCCGCCGAAGACGACGCGCCATCATTGTCGATACTGCCCGCTATCGAAGAATTGCGAGAAGAGTCGACGGCAGTGCTGGAGAGGAGGTGGGAAAAGTTGGAAGACATGAGGTTGGCGAGGTCTGTTTCGTGACCAGGGTAGAGCATGGGGCCGTTCACGTCTTGCCCCGGCACACCGTTTGGCTGTTGGTTGCCTCCCATTCGCATAGAGTCAAAGAGATTGTGGTTGAACATGTTGTTGTTGCTCAACATGTCTTCGCCCAAGCCCTGGAAGTTGGTCCTTGGACTTGCCCCAGTCGAGCTCGCCACACTTGACGCACTCGACCGATGGACATTAAAGTTGTTCCCTGGCATCTGCTGAGTGAATTGAGGCCCTCGGAGCTGATGCGGTGACACGGTATTGATGAACTGCGACATATCCAGATCGGTAGGCAACGCCTGCTGAGGCGAGGTCGACGAACGCATCTGATGGGTGTGCTGAATACCCTCAGGGTTGCCAGGCGTCAGCTGCCCCAGGGTGGTGTGGAAGTTGGCAGAGGGCAAGCCCGCCATTTGGTTGTTGATATAGCTCACCGGCGAGGGTGCTTGTTGCGGGCCCTGGGCTTGAACCTGGGGCTGCGGTCTTTCGTAGGGTTTCGTCCTGGCGCTCGGCGTCTGTTTCTGCATCACTGCGCCCGCCTCGCTCAAACTCTGGAAACTTTGCACACTCTCGCTCTCACTCGGCGTGGGGCTCTGCTGCCTGGCGACAGACGCCGACACGCTGGCAGTACTGCCAGCAACACTAGGTCGGGCCTTTCGCCGCGGGACAGGGGCCTGGGCAGGCCCATCGACAGCGTTCGTCAGTGGCTTGGTCGCTTTCGGTTTGGAGGTATCGGTTTTGTGATCGTCTGTGATGCGGATGGGTTTCGTCAACGCGCTCGCGATAATCCTTCCATCATGCGTTCGCATCGTGAATTTGATCCTATCTCGCCATCAGCGCAAATCATCAGACATCGGGGCATGTACTCACTTGAACCCAACTTTTTCCCCGTGGCACTTTCCATAGCAGACGACCCTGAACGGCAGCCAATTGCAGCTCCCATCCTCCATCTTGACCTCCGACGGTGTGTTGAACAGGACGATATCATGTCTCCAATCAGGAACATCGGGATCCCATGAGGGCTCTTCCACAACCTGACCTGCACGTTTCGGATCGTAATCATCGGGGTTCTCCGACGTCACAAAGTCGATCGAAGGTGGAACGAGTGATTGACGAGGGAGCCGAGGATGAGGGGAAGAGTCCGAGTCGGAGGTAGCTGGTTGGGCGCGTTTGCGATTTCGATCTTTTGCCTCGCGCCGTCTAGCTTCACGATTCCGACATCTCTTGCAGACGTAGATCCGCTTTCCATGCCCGTCCCCTTCTCCACTCATGTAGACGGCCGTCTCGAGATAGGCGAGCTTTTCTTTCGGAATGTGCCCGATCGCTTGGAGCTGCTTTTTGGACGAGGTTTTGGTGGTGGTGCCCGCTTGCAGCCTCAACCCATGGAACGTTGCGATCCGCTCAAACGCGTACAGCGGCTCGCCATTGGGTCCCAGGGGTAGTACTGGATGGAGGGAGATGGGCGGAGGGGGCGAAGTGTGGAGAGGGGCGAAACGGAGGAGATCGATGATGATTCGGATAGCAGTCTCCACTCGAGACTTGTCTGCGGTTTGTGGGTCGCCTTGGAGAAGTATTTGATTAAGTCTATCGAGCTGTTAGGATCATGTCACATCATGATCACTTCCTGACTCACCCATTGCTTCCCTGAGAGACTTCATCTAGCGAAGGCGCCACCACATTCGTCCCCTCCAGCTCGTGCTTTCTCTTTGGCGCCTCTGCTCGTGAGCCACCGTGATTCGACGACCCAGCGGGGGTGGGTGCATTCTGTGACATGCCACTAGTGCTCTCTGCGGGCGACTTGATCGCGTTGATACGCTCTGAGAGGCGGGAAGAGGACATGGGAGCTGGGATCTGCCCCTGCCCCTGGATGGGTGGGTTCTGAGCAAAAGGTTTCACGTCTTGTTGGGCTGGAAAAGACTGGTGCTGTTGGTGATTCTGGTATTGCTGTTGAAAGGGTTTGATATCTTGCTGGTAATTGTATGGCGATTGCTGCTGCTGGGCATGCTGAGGGATTGAGCTAGAAGGTGGATCAGTGGCGCTCCACACCCGACATCGACCCTATGCTCACCCATTGATGCCTCCCATGATCATGCTCACCAGCCCGTTCCCTGAGGCCTTTCCCCCGTGGCCCCCGTTGGCACCCTGGGCTTCCGGGCTGGATTCTAACGTCGACCTGGTGGAGAAGGGCGACGAAGCCGATGAAGAGTCCATTGACGGCCGACTGGGTAACTCTCTGCGTTCTTCGTGTGGTCAACAAGTGGCGTTCGTGTTGCGAGGCGGTTTATATCATCTGGAGGCAGGCTGAAATGGTGGGAAATTTGGAGGTGATCTGAGCGGCGAGAGGAGGAGCAGCCTCTGAGGACGGGAGCTGCGGAATGGGCGAGAGAAGAGCGGGCGGCGGGGTGGGCGTGGTGGGGGTCGCCGTCAACAGGGCAGAGCAGAGATGGGCGGTGTGCAAGAGTTTGGCAAGAGTCAAGACGAATTTCAAGGCGAGTGCCAGCGAAAAGTCGCTGCCTCCGCCGCGTTGTGCCTTACGAAACGCGGCTTTCCTATTCCAGCAATCTCGTTGGAGGACACGTCGATCTCGGCGCTCGTTCTACTTCTCAGCCCCATCTCCCGTTCTTTTCGCCATGCATTCCCGGCAGGGTGCTGCAGGAGACTAGTGACTACCTGCCCTCCCGAATCGCATATTCACTGAGCGGCGGCTGCGTATGGCGACAGTGTTTGATACCCTGCGACTACTGCTGCTACATGCGTACATCATACATGTCTTATCTGTTCCTATGCTTATCCCCACTATTCCGTTACCTTCCCATGGTCGCTCCCCCATTCGGCCAGTTCTAACCGCCATAAAAGAGATGGTACCCGATCGCACCATCCATAAAGTTCCTATCTCCTATATCTCCTCCTTACGCCGGCCATCTGCGAGTGCGCGCCGGGTATCGCAAGCCGAAAGAGTGTCTTACTTTTCTGCGGGATGCCTTAATGACATGGGAAAGCAGGCATTGGCGCTGAGCTTGGCAAGAAGGTATACGTTGTGGACATGGGTGCCTCTCCTCTTCTCAAGCCCGAAGAATGGCATGAGACTCGCCACAGCTGCCAGAACGTGCAAACGCGACCAATCGTACAGGGAATCACTGACCAGCACATCATATCAATATAAGCCATATGCATATGCTATCGAATCAGTACTCTAGTGTACGAGTCTTTGAAATATAAGTGTACTTGTATGTCGTAAAGTCCTTCTCAAGAATCCTTCAGACGGCCGCCAATAGATCTCTCACAGTCTCAAACGTATAGAAGGAGACCGCTATCGACGGAGTGACCTTGATCAGGTTCGGTGTCAATCCACGGCTGCACGACGTCAGCGCAGCACAAGTAAGACCCGCGGTTTCACAGAGTCTGTCGCAGAAAGGAACCAAACTCACTACATCCCCTTCCAGAACCCCTCCGTCTTGATAATATGTCTCATACAGTCAATCGCGCCCTTGTACTCTGGCCCCATGGAGCTCATCCCCGCGACCTGAAGCTTACGCCTCAAGACATCAAACGGATGTGTAAAGATCAAACTCCCTCCTCCACTCAGCGCGCCACAGAAGAGCTTGCGCAGGGCCAGCTCCGTTTCCGACTTGTTCTCCACCTTCTCAGGCGCGAGGAATACCGTCTTAGCATGTTCGTAGAGATAAAAGTTGAGCGACACATAAGGCGAAACGCCCAGTGCCGTCGCCCAACATCCTCTATACAATCCCCTCACCCCTCCTTCCGTAGCATACACCTTTTTCGTCATGCCGACCATCCCAAGTTTCGCATCCGCTGCCGTGAATGCCGATCCAGGCTTGTGCGCCGCAACGTTGGCGGTCGCAATCGACAGTCTTGCGCGGACGAGGTCGAGGGGGTAGGTGGCGATGACGGCGACCATGCCTGCGCCTGCGCCTGCTGATAGGCGAAGAGGCGTGGAGAGGTTTTCTTGGCCAGAGTAGGTGGAGAGGAGGGATTTGAAGGCGCCGTAGGATGTAAACTGTAGGGCAGAGTAGGGGAGAATCTACGCGTTGGAATTAGTATGGCACGCGAGCAGCAACTCTACTCGTGGAGAGGACGCACTCTGACAACGTTGATGCCGTTTCCCTTCATGAACCCTCTCCACCCCTCATTCTTCCACATACGGCCGAGACTGTGCCATACTCCGGTATACGATTGTCCTGGGACACCGGTGGTCGACTGGGCAGCCTGAACTTGACTAGATGCGCCATTAGCCAGAGTCGGACCGATAGGATCGACAGAGAGGGTACGAACAGAATGATCTTCAATCGCTCTAACGGACTGACTACCGTCCTACTTGTCGCTCCAGCTAAACCACCTATCCTCACCCATCAGCCTCCCTTCATCTTCTACGACGAGATCGAGACTCACCAGCAATAAAAGTATTCACCACAACCTGGTTATCCGACATTGTATCCCTAAACCTCTCGCCCCAGTTCTTATTTAAACGTTCTCGGTCGCATTCACTCTCAAACTCTTCCTCCGCGATAGCATAAGTTGAGGTCGACGAGGCAATCGCAAAGTCGGCTTCTTCGTCGATTCGATGGTGGCGCTGTAGCGAGGCCGTCGAGGCAGTCGTGCTCGGTTGATCGGTGCTTGATGCTAGATTCGTGATAGTATGAGGGAGGGTGTTGGACGGCATGGGATTGCTGTCATGCTATGTATTACCCCTTTTCTTGTCCTCACACGGTAATCAAGGAATGAAATTGTTTGCGCTGGGGGTCGGGCGTTTCGGCTTAAGGTCCCGAGGTACCGGTATTTGGCTTCCACTCCGGCATTATATGACGTCGAGTGGGTATTGATGCATATGATTGCCAGAGCGGGAGATATCTTGGGATTGTCCGTACGGCTATGATAATGCAGATATGCATGTTGATAGCTTTCATGGGTCATCTTGGTGGGTATCGTCTGCCAGGACCGGCTTCTTCTTGATTCCGGCGGCGATACCCGATATTTCGTTCAACAGTCATAGAACCACCCAACTTCGTCCTCGGTGGTTGACGTCTATCATGATCACACTCCAGATGTGCGTATAGCCACTGGGATACTCTCTCTAGCATTCCAAGGCAGTATCGACCTGCTTGCGTACCACATCTCGGAAGATCAGTCAGTTGAGCGAATTATACCTATGTACGACGATCACTGCACCCTTCGCGCTTGTGGTGGCGACTCAAGGAAGGATCCAGGACAACCGGTACATGCATAGATCTTTTAGACCAAACTTCTCAACAAACCTCTTAGGACAATATTCTATAGCGCACAGACATTCCTTTTCACAGAATTGTTCTCTTTTCAAAAACGATGTGCACACTTGTTTTATCCTTCATACTTTTCGAGCCTCACCTTACCAGCAAAAGGCTCGAGGCCCGCTGATATCCTCTGTCCACCGACAAGTGCTGTCCAGTCCATAGTGTCTCCACCGTGGGCCCTGGCGGACAACATGTGTTGCTGGGCGACGTCCATGCAGGGCATGGGGACGTTGTGCGATTCGGCGAGCTGGCGAATATTACTACGTTCCACTTGTCAGAACCAAAGTACTTGACCAGGCATGATAAGGGGCTTACCGAGCATCGTTGATACCGCCACCCAGGTTGAAACCACCAGTGCTGTCAAACTTGTTCTTGGTGATTCTGTCGGCGTATCGGATGAGAGCAGGGCTCTTGTGTTGGAGCTTGATGAGCTCGACGAGCTTTTCAGATCCGACACCGGTCTGGTCGCAGAGGGTGAAACATTCAGAGAGGAGCTCGATGAAACCGAGTTCGAGAGAGTTGCCAACAAGCCTACATAGTATCAATACAACAAGTCACAAGGCAGATGAGGTGCACTTACTTGAAAGACATGGCTCGCTCGACGTTACTTCCCAAATCTATCACCTTCTTTCCGATAGCAGGTACAAGTGCGTGGGCGGCGTGCTTTTTGGCAAAGTAGTCACCAGCCATGGCAAGGATCAAGTCGGCAGTCTCGGCGGCGCGGGGGACGCCAAAGACGGGGCAGGAGAGGAAAGCACGGTGAGGCTTGGCGTTGGCAATGTTTTCGATGACACCGGCAGTGGTAGGGTAGACCTGAGAGAGGGTCAGATGGAGCCAGATAGATTAACAAGAGACGTACGGTACTTGTGTCGACAAAGATGGTGGTGCGTCCCCGACCGCCGGGAATGATACCGTCGCCAGTGCCCCTCTGGGTCTGTGCTATACGTCAGCCCCCGCTGCAACAGAACAAATGTATATCTCACCTCTTGACCCTCGAACAACTTGGCGTACACCTCCTGGACAGCCTCGTCTCCCGCCAAAGAAGTGATTACCAAGTCGGCCCTATACACTGTATTAGCTTTGGTCAAAGATTTGGTCAAAGACTATGTCCGAGCAACATACGTTCGTCCAATCTCTTCGAGCTCAGTCTTGACAACGTAGGCGCTGTCGGGAAGCTCCTTCTCCTTGGCATACTCTTCAAAGTGGGCGAGGCCGTCTTCCTTGCGGTTGTACACGATTAGAGGGGGCTGCAGATCGTCAGCGGGATGCCGCAAGGCAAATGCCTCCAGACTGACCTGTCCTTCTTTTGAGAGGTACAAAGCCAAGTTGGTGGCCATCCTCTTACCCATCTCACCGAGTCCGACAAAAGCGAGTTGGTCCTGCATTCGTGGTCAGTTGGTTCGTACTCGATAACGTCGAGATAGAACACGATGCAGACATACATGGGCAGGGGTAGGGGTCGAAGGGCTGAGAGCGTGACATCAGTACATAGAATCTGGGGATAGAGAAGGCGACATACCGAGAGAAAGGAACAGGCTTCTCGTCCAAGGGTGTTCTCGCACCATCGGGCGGGAGCTGGAAGGGGCTCTGCTCGTCGTCGCCGACCTTCTCGACTGGGGGGGTGACGGGGTCTTCTGCAAAGTGCGCTCTGAGGCCGGACATTGTGGATGTGAATCTGGGTGGTTGTAGAAAAAAGAGAGTCAGAAATACTTATACTCTTCGTAAGATAGATCCAGACTTGAAGCGTCATGCTTGCCCTTCCGCCCCTCTCCGCCGTACCTGCCCACGTTATTCCCACGTGCTGCGCATGCCTACCCGCCTCGCCAGATCTCCACTCGCGCCTACTGTGCGACTGCGATAGACCGCGTTGTGGTTAGGAATTAGGATGCGTGTCATAGAGGCTAGAGCACCGGACACGTATAACAAGCATAGAATCTACCATGAGCACAGCACCCGCCAGATCAGCACCCCCGCCTCCCGAGGAAGACTCTCAGGGAGCGTCGCCCAGTGCGTAATACCTCACATGCTCGTCGGCGCACTACTGACGCAATCTACAGATGAGATTCTCCTCGCGGCTGCCAAAAGCGATAACGAGGGAATGCTAAATGAGGCGTTGGAGCAACTGGAGGATGTGAATGAGCCTGATGGGTGAGTGATTGTGCATTTGAAGGTGATCACGGGCTGACCTTGACACAGCCTCGGCAACACTGGTAAGTAACGCGAGCATGGTTTGGGCGTTACTGACAATGTCTCGACTCTGAAGCTCTGCACTATGCGTCAGTTGCATCGTTATGCCCATTTATGCAAAGGAGCTAATGATTGTATAGTATACAGCACGGCTCCTCAGACATTCTCGAAACACTCCTCGACCACGACAGTTGCAACGTAGACATCAAGAACAGATTACAAGGCGATACGCCGTTACATATCGCTGTTAGGAATAGGTTTGAAGACCAGCCTGGTCTTCGGCTGTATCTCGGTACGTTGATTGACACTTCGTTCGTTGAGAGAGAAGCTAACGATGAGTAGTTGGAAGCTTACTAGAATCCGGCGCCGACACAACGTACATCCTCCTCCCATTTCTTGCTCCACCCCGCTAACGTCACGCAGCCTCCGTAACCGCCACAACGAAAAGCCTGCCGATATCCTTCCCCCAGCTTCAGCTTCCGCCGACCCAGAATCGGACGACGAAAAAGTCCGGAGCATGCTCCGTCGCGCCCAGGCCCAAGCTTCGATCGCGCAGAGCGGGGATGTGGTGGACGATGATGATGGAGAGGTTGATCCGGATGATGTGGCTTCAGATTCTGATTAAAGAGGATGCCTTCTGGCAGGAGGGTCAATGATTGTAAGAACCGGGACATGTATACATCTACGATTTGTGATAGACTGAACAACTTCACGACAACATCTATGGACTCTAACAGTTCAAGACAGAACAGAATGCTCTCCTACAACTCCGACTCCTTCCCCGAGTGCAGTCGCTACCCACAAGTACTACGCGCATACTTTCTCGAACCTCGGCCTCGGTACCAGATAAATTCCCCTTGGCCATACCGCCTCTCTTTTTCCTGCCCCTGCTCCCCCGTATGCCCAAGCAGGCTGCGCAGGAGCAGCAAGACACCCTGCCGATGTAGTACCTGTGTGGCGCCGCCCACACTCCCGGCAATGTCATAAGACGTCTTGTAATTTCGTTACCGTCGCGTTGGCGCAGCCGACACCTGAGCTGGACGTTTAGCTACTGTGCTGTCAACCCGGAAACGTACTCACGCTGACAAGATTCACAAGCCTTCTCTCCTCGCTCAAAAGACATTCTCTCCAGCACCTCCATGGCCAACTCGCCCTTGAACCCATCTCGACCTGCCAGCTCCATCGGCAAACCCGTCTTCAACGCATCTCCTATCAACCTTCCAACCTCCAGATATCCCACGCCTGTATCATCATCGTCGTCATTCTCCGGCTTTGTCAAGATGTGCCCTTCGTGGTTGACAAACTCCCAAGAAGTGTTTTGAAGCACGGCAGCAGGAGAGATGCCGGAGGGAAAGAGGTTTTTGATAGCAGTCCCGATTTGCCAGGAGCGAAAGTTCCACTTGGGCCCCGGCGTGAATGTCGACGCCAAACCGGGAGCGATGAACCTCGGTGCCTCGGGCGGTCCCACACAATGCGAAGCAAAGTGGTACACATTCCTACATCCCTTGAGAGAGGGCAACACCTGATGCACCACATCATGCACTTCAAACACCTTCAAGGACGCCCAGCCGTCCTCGATGAATTGGTTGACACGGGCGACGAGCTGGTATTGTTTGATGGACGTCATCTCCAGGTGCTCGTCCCACTCTACAGAGGGCACGACGCGGTGGGCGAGACAGAGGGAGGAGGGGCGGGAGGTGTGGATGAGTGCTTCAAGGAAGAGAGGGCTGTGGGGGCGGTCGTACGTCTCTGGGATGTATGTCCGGATCTCGTCTGCCACTTTGGCGCCCAAGGCTACAGACTCTAGCCCCGGCAAAAGCAAGGCGTCAGAGGAGCGGGCGACTGACGAAAACGATTTGGAGAGAGGGGAGGTGCAGGCGGGTAGAGAGTGGATGGTGAGGTGCTTGATATGCCCCAAAGCTACCATGCGGCGGAAAGAGCTTGCCTTGAGGGAGAAGAACGCGCCTGACGCGACAGCGTCGTCGACCTTTTTGGGCGTTACCTGCTCAGCCTTGGACCCTTCTCCCAGCCGGAAAAGGTCGCAAGTCTCGACTGACCTAAAGTCTACCCTTCTATACGTGACAGGGGACAGCGCGAGGTAGTATTCCTTCGAGCAGCGCTGAAGGGCAGCAAGGGTCGCGTGGGCATGGTCGTCCAGGAGGTAGGACGCTATACGGTTGGCGATGTCGAGGGGCAGCGTGAGGCACTCGCTCGGTGCGTTGGCGGGTCTTTGGGTTATTATAGCCGTCATGTCGTGCTCTGAGCTATATTCCGAATTGATGTGGTTGTTCAAACCGGTAAGAAGAACACGTCGTTGAGCGCGCATGGTGAAAAGAAATCCCGGCCTCCAGCGAGGCCTACGGCAGTAAGACAAGCATCGGACCGTTCGGGGCACGTTATGTTTTGCAAACGCTTCGAGTCCCCTGATCTTTATCAGATTAGACAAGAAATCGACTAATTCATCGCAATCCTCGGCCGATGCGAGATGTGGAACGAGTGGAGGTCGCCGGCGTGCCTTTTCGTAGCAGGCGTTCGAGATGTCACTCAACATGGGCACAAGGCTATTGAAGGTGTTGGACTTTGTTGAGCCTAGGGCTGGAAACTGATGGGGGCATAATGTAAATCTACATATCACTCGAATACTAGTAGCAGTAGTACAGTATCGGCTCTCGCGTCGGCCTCACCCCCACCGTCTCCTCCATAATCTTCATAATACTGTAATCAACCTTCAATTTCTGCGTCGATCCAACACCACGCTCGGCTCAATAGGATACTGAAGGATACTGAATCTGGTAGTATATGCTCGGGTGAAGAGAGGTGGCTGTCGAGAAAAGCAAAGAAGAGATGAAGCCTGGTCAGTGTTGGGACCAGGTTCGAGGAGGAGAGGAACTCACACCACTACTTCTTCACACCCATACCCAGCTCATCGTGAGCCCCCACCTTCCATCTACCAAGTGCTCTTCGCCATTATCCACCAAGTGCTCTTCGCCAGCCCGAACATCATCCCGCCCCTCGCTTGACCTCTGGATCCAAGACGAGCCCGGGACGGTAGTTCGAATGAGCGAGCTGATCCAACTCTCGAAATGTAACAGGTCCCTGCTGTAATGCCCGACAAATTGTCAATCGGCCTTGCGGACCCACAAGCGGCGCATTACATTGTTGTTCTCGGAAGGGCGGTAGACAATGGCCCGTATGTGAAGGGTGCGGACTGTCGAGGAGTTCATGATATCGAGCAGGAACTTGGCGATGATGGAGGTGGCAGGGGAGGAGGCAGAGGTGGAGGGGGTGAGGTGTTGGAGGATGATGGTGGGCAGGCTGCCCAGCCCTCGGTGAAAGACTCTGGCGAGCTTGGGCAGATTTCCGGGGACCGTGTTGCCGTTGGTGCGGAAGTCGAACACAAGGTTGTCCATGCCGTTGGGGAAACCGGCAGCACAAAGAGAGGTGATTTGCGCGGCATTGGAGACGGTGATGCTAGACATCGTGTTGTCGGCTTAGAGGATAAGAAGAGAAGGTCATGGTGTGAATGGTGGTGTTTATATATGTACACCTGGACAGCGGGATGTAATCTGGTGGGGATGGCACCCGCCGCATCCATCAAACAAATGTGTGAGAGACAGCTTCCTTTGGGTGATGAAACTACCCGGACGCGACGCGACTTCGATCCGCTTTCTCCGAGTGGCACGCGTTGACAATGATAATAATACCACAATGCGCTCAAGAGATGACATGACAAGTGTTCGGGGACGAAAGAAGGTGAGACATAGCAACATATCATAGCGAGTCCAGGCGATCTTCGCGCGTCCTGGTAAAAAGTGAAAATGTTATCCTCGGCTTTTTCCATCTTCGTCAAACATGAGATACCAAATCTCTAGGTCGGCCAACTTCAATCCTGGGTAACTGGGCGTACATCATCATGATGTTTCCACTCATGAAAGGATAAACATATGAGATATGGATATACATATGAGATATGGAAATACATATGAGAGATGGATGTAGTATATGCAGATAGCGCATGTGAACTGGCACAGATATTCGAGTATAGTAGCCCCGCCCACTTACCGTCTTAGCAGTAAGAGAGGCTGAGACATCTCCCAAACTGACTCAGCCAAAGCGCGGCTTCACACTGGGTGGAAACAGGAGGGTGGAGACAAGAGGGGCGCGGAAACGCAAACCAGCTTCCACTATCCGCGGAAAGCGACCATCAGTTCGCCTTCTTGTAGTATAAAAATCTCAGGAGATGCATTTTGAAAGTCATTTATTCTCACTGCCAACGAGAACAATCGCCGGCCATCTCCGCAATCCTTTCTCCCAACATCCTTTCTCCCAACATATCACAACAGAGACTATCGATTTAGAGGTCCAATGTAGCGCGCCTGCCGCCACACTCCATGAACCGCCACACCTCGTATCGCCGAAGGTCCGTCCTCGTGGTCTATCAGGGCCAGCCGCCCTAATAGACTCTTTATTCCCAGTAGACCCTAGGTTTTCTCTTGTTGTGCCGCTAGAGTTCCCATGCATATAAGACAGAGGTTTGGGGGAATCCCCATCCTTATTCTCTTTTATCTCTTCCTTATTTACCCAGTATACGTTGAGCCTCCCTCATCCGTATAGTCTACGCATATCATATCTCATACTTCACGAGCTAATCGCAAGCCCGCAACAACTGAGCGCACTCGAAACATCGTATTGGTTGACTCTTGCTCATTGAGCCCTTCTGGGTCTTCTTGGGACGGTCTAACTCACTACATCTGGGGTCTCGTCCCGCGTTTGAGTTGCTAGCTTGTAGACGCTCGACGGCCTGAGTTCTACTCTCGCCCTCCTGTTGCCTGGTTCTGCATCCTTCTCGGTTTCTCTACTCTCGACGGCCTGAGTTCTACTCTCGTCCTCCTGTTGTCTGGTTCTGCATCCTTCTCGGTCTCTCGGGCTCTCGTCCTCTCCAAGGCTTAGCTACCCTTGGATTCTTCCGTTTGCGTTCGTCGAAAAGTCCCCGACCGGTGTCCCACCCACCACTCCACAGCGCTCGCAAGGCGGTCAAGCGACCCTTGCTCCCATAACCACAAGGCGGTCCAAGCAGTTAGACCCTTGTTCGTCCTCCCCGACGCCCATACCATTACTACAAGGCGGTCACGAAGACCCTTGTTCGTCCACCTCGACGCACCATCAAGTTAGACCCTTGTTCGTCCACCCCGACGCTCCAACACAATGGCCCCTGCTACCCGATCTGGCCCTCCCCCTGCACCCGCCCACAGTGGCGCAGCAACCACTGACTCCTCGCTGACAAGTTTGACTGATTCAGTCGAGGCCGGTGGGCTCTCACAGGCTCAGTCCCAAGCCGGTCCTTCCCTGATTCCAGCCGATCAGCTCTCGCAAGTCAGTCACCTCGGCGATCCAGACGTGCCTCAGTCGTCTCCCAACGAAGACGAGGCAACACCTAGCCCGCTCTCTCCACCAGCACAGCCCCCTATTCCGGCGTCGCCACCTTTGGCGATACCTTCTACCACAGCAAACGCCAACGCACCTATGGCTCTTCCTGTCAATCAGTCCGCTCAAACGGAAATTGAAGACCATCAACCACCGCCCGCCTCCACACCACAGGCGACCTCGGGAAGCCGAGCTGCCGACCACCCGACTCAGCTCCCTGCGCGCGCTACCTCTCTCGCGCCGTCCGACACACCCTCTTCGTGGCACTCGGATCTCCAAATCCTTTCTCAGAACCAAGCCCTCCTCACTCGTCTGCTACATAGCATGCACGAGCAGAACGTTGTCCGACCTCAGAGTATCCCTGCCTCCTCGACGCCCCCTGCCAACGACCCTACGCTTCAGACATCATTCGAGCGCAGGCGTCGTCTCCGTCCCGCCGACCTCAGTAAATTCGGCGGTTCAGACACAGAGGATGTTGATACCTGGCTCGAAAAACTAACGGCGGCCCTCGAGCATGCCGATTACCCCGAGTCTGAACTTCTTACCAACCTTCCCTTCCTTCTCGAAGGCAAAGCTCTCGACTGGTTCACGGACCTGGGCTCGGTTCGCCGAGACTATCAGACTTGGGACGAGTGGCGTGTAGTTTTCAAAAACGCGTTCAGGATCCCTGATTTCGAGGGAGTTATGCGCCGCAAGTGCATCGCGCGCCGCCTGCTACCATTTGAGTCCTTCGCCGACTACTTCGATGCAAAACGTCGACTTCAGCGTTGGGTGTATCCTGAGGGCACCTCTTCAAAGGATCTCATTACCGATATGGTCGAAGGTATTCCTCTGGCGATGCGTGCCCTGATCAAAGCATCGACCCCGCCTGGTTCATCTTTAGACGATTTCCGTTGTATCATGCTGGATCTACAACCCAGTCTCCGCTCGCAATTCCCTTCGCCGAGCACCAAACCCTCCAGACCCCAAAACGGTGGTCAACCCCAACGGCCTCCTACCGACCAAGGACGCCAGTTCCAGCAGCCACGAACAGGCCCTCCTCCCTCTGCCTGCAAAGCATGCGGTGAATGGCATTGGCGTGAGTTCTGCCCACTCAATAACCAGCGTTCTGCGAACGGCTCGTCCCCTGGCTTTTACGGCCGTCAAAACAATGGCCAAAATGAGCACCAGCGCCAGGACGGTATGGGACGCAACTTCGTTGGGTCCGGAAGTAACGGCATCTCTCGCCCATCCAACAATCGATACCCAGACCACCAGCAGGGTATGCGCCCAGCCCAGAGCCACTCCCAAGGTAACGGCAATTTCAACCGCGCTCCTCAGCACCCTCGCGCTTCGTTGAACGTTGTGACGGCACACCCTTCTACCTCTGCCGACGCCGGTTCCGTCAGCTCCGGGAATCACCGGGCAGCCGACGTCCTTCCCGAAGGCACGCCTCACAATGCCGAAACAACCGCTCCTTCCGACGTGTTGGACCTCGTCGCAGAGCCTTTCGAGCACGTTGATAAAACCCTGACTTATGCGTATGGCCGATTCGGCACAGACAAGGAAGGTTCTGCATTGCATAGAGTCATCATTGACTCTGGCGCGTCCATTACTGTTCTCAATGCCGACTACGCCGATCAGCATCTTGCAGCATATGCTCGTCACCCTCTACCGGCCAACTTCCAATTGTCAGGCATGGCATCCCTTGCTTCTGCGTTTTACATTCACGCGTCTATGCAGTTTGTCGACACAGACGGACAAGACATCACCCTCGAAGCAAATTTCTTCCTCGCCAAAACAGAGAGTGCAAATATTATCCTTGGGAACGATGTCCTGCTTCCACTCGGTGCGCGGATCGACCTCGATTTGCTCCTGCTGTCCTTCCGAGACATGCGAGGTGCTATTCCCATCACCGCATCCATAAAGGAATTTCCTTCGCAAACAAGTGACGAGCCGACCCCTGTCAGCTCTTCTACCGATCCAGCTCCTTACCCCGCATTTCGTCTCAAAAATCCTGCCATTGTGTACCCGGGTCACCGACACCGTGCCGAGGTAGTGGTTGGAGAGTTGCCCCCTACCGACGCATACCTCCTCGAGCCCCTCCATTTGGGAGAATACTTGCATGTCGCACGATCTGTCGGCTCTGCGGCATCCCCCGCACACTTCGTCATGATCATCGATTCAGGGAAGAAACCGATCGTCCTAGGCACCCACCGCAAGCTGGGCCGGCCCACCCCCGCTATCTCCGCTAAGGCCCTGCCACAGGCGAATGCGGTAAACCACACCGACCAGACTCCCCGACCTTGGGAGTCGGATGATCCGAGCATGGAGGACGACCAATTTCCCCTGCGTGACATCCAGCTCAACCCTGAGCTGAGTCCGGACCAGCGGAAAGCTTTCGAGAAAGTGATACTTTACAACAAGGACGCCTTTGGCTACGGTTCTCGCCCAATAGGCTCTACCACTCTTGCCACCATGTCTATCCCCACAGGCGATGCTCCTCCTGTCTCCTCTCCACCATACAGGGCCTCCCCTCAAGGGAGAGAGATCATAGACACTGCGATGGCCGAGTTGTTGGAACATGGCATTATTCAGGAATCGGAGTCTCCGTGGGCGTCGCCCGCTATCATTGTCCAGCAGAAAGGGAAGTCCCGGTTCTGCATCGACTACCGTAAGGTGAACAGCTTTACCACTCCCGATCAATACCCCCTCCCAACCGTCGACGAGATCCTCTCCCAGTTCGCCGGTATGAAGTACTTCTCCACATTCGACGCGAACCGCGGTTTCCATCAGATACCACTCGACGACGACGCCAGGGCAAAGTCGGCCTTCCGAACACACCAGGGTCTCCACGAATAAAAATTCATGCCTTTCGGCTTCCGAAACGGTCCTGCGGTGTTCCAACGTTTTATGGACCGTGTACTATCCAAATACAAGTGGTCCGTCACCCTGGTATACATTGACGATATAATCGTCTACAGCCCCTCCTTCAAGAAGCACCTTGCAGACGTCAACGCCGTGCTTGGGCAGATACGTCACTCAGGTCTCACTCTCAGTATCCCCAAAAGCCATG